TATAGCTGAGTATCTGAGAAAATAGTCTTAACCCAAATGGCCTTCAACCTTTTCATGTTTGCGGACTGTTTTTCAATTACATTGTGGTCGCTGCTTTTTGGTTAATTTTCTAATGACATATAAACATTAAATTGTTTTTAATTTGAGACTTATGAATAAAATAACGCAAATTAGACTGCAGAAAATTCTTCAGAATGAAGTTAATACTGAAAAATACATTTATCCTATTATCCAATTTTATCCTACAATAAATCTTTTAAAAAGCGTGGAATTAACAGTGCACTAGTTGGAAATAAGGATGACATTGTGTTTTAGGAAAGTTGCAAATCTAGTTACAGTGACAACCTAAGTGAAAATAACTATCATTTTAGCAACAGTGATGATGAATTTCTGGGATTCTAAGAAACGCTGATGTATTTGCTAATTTTTTAATGCAACAGTTCCGTTTTCGTTGTATAAAGTGTTATCATTAAAATAGGTACTTAATCCTTTTCTGTGTAAGTATTTTTCCCAAGTTTTAACTTGATAAATCACTGCGCGTCTTACAGACCAGGAAATTGAGGTATAGTATAAATCGTCCTTCATTTCGTATCAGTGCCGACAATTTCGATGAAAAATGGTACCTTTTTAAAAACAAACGTAGAAAAGCCGTTTTATGTACAACATAATGTCTAAAAATACCGTCAAATTAAACAGTAATCTTGACTTCAATGCTTTTGTATGTATTTCTTGAATTGATTAATAAATGTAAATTTGTAATTTTAAAGAAGTCATAATATTTTATTTAGTTACATGCTAGTTATCTGTGTGTTTGCTTCGCTTCTGGTATAGACCCCCCCTCCTCTCAGAATAAAGCGTTTTGCTCCTCGATCGCATAAATTTCTCGATTTTCCATTACTTAACCAGTGGAATTTCCTAGTGTCCCCCCCCCAATAAATTTACAGCTCTGCGACAACAACTGAGTGAAATATTTGCAGCTATCTACACATAGATTGAATGCTTATTTAAAAATAAAATATTTCCTAATTTTTATATCCCTTTTCTAGTTTATATTGAAATTTCAAAATTTAACGATATCAGTTAATGAAATACTTGCAAGTAATATAATGGATTCAGCGAAATATATTCTTGATTCCAAACCCTTACTGCTAGGCATCAGTCCATCGCTCTTAGAATACATTATTAGTCCAAAGGGGCAATTTGCCCAGAAGGATTATTAATTTCATTTTGTCATTTTGCGTTGAAAACTATAAATGGTGAATCACTTTTCAAATTGTTGCCACCAAATATTATCTCCCTGTATTACAGTTAAAGAAATTAAATAATGAAGACTCTGCATGAATGTATGTATGTTTCTCGCTTATGATAAACGACGGTACCTAGTGCCATCAAAATTTTAATAATGTAATCTTCCATAGAATATCGGCGTGTGGAAGCCCTAATTTGAATTTAAAATTTGTTTATTATCGATTTCATATTTTATAACACTTCAACAAATTTTTGATTAACAAACTCGGCGATTTCAAAGCGAGCAATGGCAACACTATACGAAAAATACATTTTTATCTCCAGCGCGCAATATATATTCCTGATATACTTATACTGAATGAGACCTAAAAACACTTTTCTTTTAAAACATATCTCCCCTTATGATCCGTGACACAGCCGTTTACTTTCCCCTTCCGTAATTAACGTGAGTCTCTTGCTCTTGACCGCATTTGCAAAGCCACCGTGTGTAGAAGTTTATTTCAAGTATCTTATCACTGTATTCATTAGCGTTGTAGATAACTTCATCATTGTATTTCATAATACAATGATGGTATTCTTGTGTTTTTTTTTTTTTTTTTTTTTTTGTCTGTTTGTTTATATGTCTATTTGCGCTAAAGAATTTTTGACATGAGTTCCGGCGCATATAACCGTTGACGCCAAGAAATCCGCTACCACTACCACTACATTTTAGCATTTCTGCTAAGGCTTATGAAATTAAGGAACACTAAAAAGAAAAAGTATTTTAAAGTGCAATCCAAGAATCACAGGATCCGTACTGTGATTTTTAAATAAAAACATGATTTGCGAACGATGTGATACAAGGATCAGAACTGATCACGAATCTTGCTATTTTCGGATTATGTGAACGTGATACCAAAACAGATGATCCATGCATCATGCTAAACGTGATTCATGGATTCTATGATGGCTAGATCAAAAAAATGATCCACAGAAACTGTGATTCCCGTATCAAATCATAAAAAATTATCCTTATGTGTGTATATTTGTATGTAATGAGTAATTTTGTTAATTCCAGAAGTTTCCTCTAGTCAGCATTCATTGTCTGTTTATCCTATCAATTAACAAAACGAGCATTTTTTCATGAATGTCCTTGGGAACTATAGTAGCGTCCATTGCACTTATTCAACTCCTAGACTCATAGATTTAACCAGTCCTAAAGCAAAGCTTCTTTGTGAAAAAGTAATGACAATGCCCCTTGAAAATCTCATCTATTTCTTTGGATAACAAGAAAATGAAAGGAAATAGTTTGCAACCTCAACCAATTGTAGAGACTTCAAAAGGTTTCATCAATCATTCAGAATAATAATAAAAGAAAGAAAGAAATCTTAATATTTGCCATGCAAGTCATTCATCTGCCTTTATGTTTGTATTTACCTTCGGTATGTTTTTATCATATATTCCACTAGTCTTGTCCATTTTATCACGCAAACCTATATAAAAATATCATACAAACTTAATTTAATGCTCTTTATTTCTGTTTTTCAGTCTTTAGTTTGTCAATCTAAAGCAACTTTAAATTGTGACTTACAAAAGTTTTGTAAAATTACTGATTTTTTGTATCGTAAATGATAAGAAAAAATTTTGAAGGCAAATTTATTTAACTTATTACTTACTAGCTTTGACTTGAGCCAGTAACATCAGATGAGTGTTGTCTAGAGTCACCTTCAGAACAAACGTTGATTACTGTTCGATAGGGCATAGTACTCTGTAAATGGGCCCTGGGTACAGCATTCCTTTAAGGGACCACAGTGCACTCTTTTCATATTTTTTGTAGAGAAAATCAGCAGCATGGAGATTGAAGCACGATTTTTGGATTCTTTAAGACATGGGGACCTAGGCCTTTGGATTATAGTATGTCATCAGGCATGTTGCTTAAATTGTTTCTAAACAATCTAAAAATGCATTTCTTAGCCCATTATGATTTATAGCACATCAAAGCTGAGTATCAGACAGAGTACAGTTGCAAAAATTTGTAATTTTCGTATAATTTTAGATGATATATGCAAAGACATTCTAAAGAGGCTAACATGACTGGGGGAAAAAAAAAAAAAAAAAAAAGAGTAACAGAAAGCAAAAACATTTACTGAATTTATCCTGCACTCATACTATTTTATGAAGAAGTTAACAGTAAATACTGTAACAAAAAATTAGTTTCTTTTTGTTTCAATAACTGCACAAATTATTTCATTTTATTGTTTAAAGCAGACAGATGAACATTTTAAAAAACTTTTCTTCCAAAGAAATTTTAGAAAGGAACTAAGATATGGGTATTGAAACAATAAGACTGATTAAATATGAGTTTAAGATATTGTATGCAACCATAATTTCACAAAAATTAATGCAAATGTGAAAGGAACATGGTTATGAAAATAAAAGCTACATAAGAATTAACTCTTTTCCCAGTGGGAAATTGCTGACTTAATACAAAATTATTGTTTGTTGATATGAATCAGAATAATTTTGCTTTTACAAAAATGGCATTCTCATTTCCTAACATGCTGGCTTACAATTTTATTGAAATTATTACAGAAAAGGAATATTTACCATTTATTAAAATCTTGTGATGCTTACTTAAATTTACTAATAAATTACATGACACTGTAAACTTGACTGATAGTGAAAAATTTCACATTACATGACAAAAAATCGCACAAATTAGTCAACCATATTAAACTAGGAAACAATATTTTTTCATACAGTAATACTAACTGATTATTACATGCACTGAATTGGTATTAAATGGATTTTCATTACATTATAGTTGTAATTGGTATTTTTTTTTATTGATATGATGTTTGTTTCTCTATGCAAAATAATCCTCAATAAATTTTGGTTTATTTATTAGTAATAAATAACATCTCTTGTGTTTGGTTTATTTATTACTAATAAATAACATCAACAAGTCAAAGTTGATGTTAAAAAATTATTCATTTGACATATATATTATTATTATATGCACAGAAGTTATAATAAATGAAAATAATATTTAATCCATTCTCAGTAATTAATAATATAAAAGAATAAATTATTGTTACGTTTTTGTATTTAGTTTGCTTTTTTAGTAGAATTTAAATTAAAATTGTTTTATTTCCCCATGCAACGCGTGGCGAGTTTTAAGAGAAAGCTACGATGATAAAGTAAAAATACAGGAGCATGCACTTAACATTTAATAAATAGATATCTCATAATTGCTTTTGCATTCTAGAAAACTTGAGAAATAAAAATTACCATAATGTTCTTGTGCATGATTAAAAAGCTTTAAAACGCCAGACTGAAACATCTCAATTCAGTTGTTTTATGAGTTGTTTACTTAGTTCTTGTTGTTGATTGTAGCAAATTTACGGTGAGGTCAGATTATCTTTCTCTGTGTTTTGAATTGAGTTCTATTTATATTTTATTAGTTTAAAATATAACTACTGTGAGATATTGCGATATTATACGAATATCTCTGAGGAAATTTCAGCATTTTGTTTAATTTCTTGAAGTAAGAATAAATTTTATTAACTTTTTATCGACTTGTGCATTCAATCCATTATGAACCCGTATGCATGCAACAGTATTGTACTTTTTTTTGTATATGTGCGAGCATGACTATACTCTTTTTATTTACTCCAAATTAGTAAATTTAAGACAAAAAATTGGCAAAGTAACAAATATTTATTATTAACATAAAAACCTTTAACCATTCGTGTGAAAAATGAAAAATATAAATGAAATTATTTACATGATACAAAGAACATTTTATATAATTATATTCTACATGCACATTTCATATAATTATATTTATTTAAACTTTACACGCACTTATCATAATATATATATATATTGAGAAGTGAGTTAAATATGTTATATGAACAAATAAAAGCTTTTAAAAATGACTGAATACATTTACATAACAAAATACAATGCATATAAGATTAATTATTAACAATAAATATTTGAGAAAAATAAAATATAACTCCTTATAATTTTAGTAAATGTCCATAAATTCATACAAGAATATAATGTATAAAATTATTTGTTAAAAACAAATATTTGTAATAAATAATATACTCACTAATAAGACATGGTTATAAAGATGTTTAAGAGCTTTAATTTATTAAAGTTTAGTCTGTTGTGAAATTTTAACACTTACTTATTTTAGTGCTGTTGAATTTCGTATCTTTTTTCACAGAGATTATCTGTTTATTATGTAAATGAACAATACAGCTATACTACAGTATTTATTTAGGTCACAGTCTGGCCTGCTTGACAAGCAAAGCTCGTCTTACGACACACTGTAGCATTAGTCTCAAGTTAAGCAATGCAATAGCTGTTTTAGCCCAAAAGGGGCTATTAATCTTGAAATGGTATTTTGTGTCAGTTCACTATAAGCGGAGAATCACTTTTCAAATTGTTGCCATTGCTCTTTATGATTTTTAAAGAAATTAAAATCTGAAGAATCTGCACGAATGTATGTACTTTTCTCACATCGTGAAAAAAAAAAGGTGATTCATACAGCCATCTAATTCCAAATATCATAGTCCTCCACCTAAACATGCACTTGCAAACCCAAATTTTTAGTTTTGAATTTGCTTCACTATATATTTCATAGTTTGTAAATCTTTAATGAATTTTTGATTAACAAACTCAATGATTTGAGAGTGAGTAGTGGCAACACCGTACAGAATGTAACATCTTTATCATCAGCACGAGTGTGTATTGGAAATATAGCCCAAATGCTCTCGAAACATGCATGTGTGTGTAAATCCAGAGCACAAGATTATTTGTTGGAAATTTTGAAGATGTGCTGTTTTTAAATATTTTGTGATTTTTTTTGTTCAGTTGAATTTTATGTGGTGTAAGTGTGAAAAACATGATATTTAATAAATACAATTAACACACAAAATGTTAATAATAAAAAGACTAAAAAAAGTTTTGTAAACCAACTTACTAAGAAAATTCAAATGATAAACTTAGAAAAGACAGAAAAAATAGAAAATTGTATGCCAATACTTAACACTGCATTGGGAATCCTAAACTATACTGCTTTTAAAATTTTTGCAATTTTGATGTTCAATTGTATGGTGTAAGCGTGAAGAAAAGGATGTTTAATAATAAAGCTATAAGACAAAAGGAAATAGGTTAGCAGGAGTGAGTGTAACAGCAGACTCAGCAAGAGTGTTAAAAACTAACCCTTTTTGGCAACCACTAAAATCTGAAACCTTTCAGAATTAAAATAATAAATAAATAAATAAAATAAAGCAGGAGGAAGAGCACTTTTCTTATATAGAAACATCACTATAGATATATTATAATAAACTCAATCTAATCTGAATATGCTACTCCTAAATAAAAATACAGCACCAGAAGACGAATGAAGATGGACAAATCTATTCATACACAGTATGATCTTAATACTGTAATTTTTGCATAGAATGAGGATATACTGCATTACCCACAATTCAAGTTTATCTTTTTGATTCCCAAATAAATAGGTTTCAGTTTAATTTTAACAATAAAACCCTATTTAATTGAATTCAAAATTATCAAAAATCCTTACACTTAATATTTAAAAATACCTGGGAGAGGAGAAGAAACTAAGGGGCAAATCACTGTACTCTAAAATTGTAACAGACTAAAAAAAGTAAAGAAAAATAGGGATGCTTAGTAATAACCATAACGAGCATGATGAAAAATGAGGCAGATATCACTGATAAAATCTGACACAACAAACAATTTAACAGTATTTTCAGTACAGAAATAAAATTTATATATGTTTACATTGCTAAACTATAAAAACTTCTTAAAAAAAAAAAAAACTGTTCCAGCTGCAAAAACAGTTAAGTATAAAACAAAACTGCATTGATTTTTAGTGCATCATTATCAAAGTTGTTTTTTTGAGCATATTATCACTATTAATGAGATACATGTATTCTTGATAATTCCAGAAAAGCCCAAAATAGCTGAATAGATAAGCTACTGAACACTGACAATTCATGATGAATGAATGGTTTGGCTGCATGTAACTTTTTTCAGGTATAGGATAAATATAAGCACATTTCTCTTATATTCTCCATCAAGGATCCCTTCTAAGACAAGGTAGCATTCAATGCTTTGCAACAGGTAAATAACCTAACTTAAACTTGCTAAAAAAAGTTTTAACTTAAGTGGTATAGTCATCCCTTGGAAAAAGAAATATTCAAAGAAACATTCAGTGGAGAAAATCTAATTGCAAATTAGAAATCAATTTATACATGTACTAATTTTATGCAAATTATATTTCATGTATTTTGTATTGAATACTGTAATTATCAGTACTAAATCATACTGTGAAGCATTTAAGAAATTACAGTAAACAATTCAAAACTGATGACAATTTTACTAGCAAGAAGAGTTTGTTACAGTAAAACAATGTGCAATATAGTTCGCTTCCTATTACATGTTATTTGAATAATTCAAGCTATGAAATGTCGGGTATCTTTCATACACTACAACATGTGTTATCATCAAGTTCTTTTCACTTAAAACTTTAGTTATTTAATGGTCCAGACAATAATAAAGGTGTTTCTTCCATGAGATGTGGGTAAAAGATTCTGTGGTAAATTTTCTAAATATGAGATATACTTTATATTGGAATTATAAAAAGGGTAGTTTGATATTTAAGCAACATGCAAAAATGGCTCAATTTTTAAAAATTCTTTACACTTCATTTTTTTCACATTTAAGCAGTTACTTTATTACATAATATTTATTAACCACAGCTCAATAAGAACTAAATCATCAAGAAGCCTAATAGTTAATTTTTAAATAATGTTTTTTAAATAAAATTCTATAAATTAGATTTATTTATTTCTTGAAAAACTCTAAAATTAATTTTTTAAACTTACTACTTTTGCTATTAACTTCAGTTGTTATTAGAGAAAGTAAATTATTATTGATATGGTTAATCACATTCATTAAGACCCATTAAAATTATTGAAATAATAGAAAAATCAATCCTGATAGTTTATTACAAGACAGAAATACTGCAAAAACCTTTTTGAGGGATTCATATATCTTACAAACAGACTGAATATACATGTTATTGACTATATATAGACATGTTATTTATTATAACCACTTTCTGAAAATGTTCTGAATAATGTTTTATGCTAAAATTTATTAAATCAGGTTGAGTCATAAATAACTTCCAATGCAGGCAGGCAGAATTTGTATTTGCCCACTATGAGTGATGGGAAAACAAACTTTTGCTTTCACTTGATAAGGATTCATTTAGTATTCTGATTACTTTTTGTAAATGTTATATGCAACAGACAATGGACACACTTAAACAGACAGTGGAAAAGTGCATATTTGTCATGTGATACCTAGAGAATTTAAAAAATTCAACGATGTTACACAACAGCTAAAAAAATATGCAGTGTGTATGATGAAGAACTAATAACCAAACAAGCACTTAGAAATTGGTTAGTCAAATTTTGTTCTGGAGATACAACCTTAAAAGATAAACTTAGGGTGGAATATCATTTTGACTTTGACAATGACCTTTTAAAGGCAATACTGGAACAAAATCTACATCAATTAACAAGAGGTATAGCAGAAAGGCTTAATATATTACAACCAACTGCTTGTCACAAGCTGGAGGAATTAGAGAAATTCAGCAAGTTAGGTAATTGACAAACTCGGTGAATATTAAGATCACATGTCAATTGCCACAAGTCTGCTCTCAAGTGTCAAAATCGAGACTTTTTTTAAGATGGGATTACAATAGGTGATGAAAATTGGATTGTCAATGATATTATCATCCACAAAAGACAGTGGCTTGATAAGGATCAACCACTCCTCACAGATTCGAAAGCAAACATGCACAGCAAAATGATTTTATTATATGAATAAACGGATTGCCGAAGTGTAATTCATCATGAGTTGTTGAAGTCAAATTTAATGATTACTACAGATACATTCAGCAGCTGAAAAGTATGCACGAGAAACGTGCATGGCCACATACAGCAATGATGACCCCCAAAAAATTCTGAAGTTTGGAAGGTCTATTTTATTATATCCACCCTACTCCACAGATCTTGCCCTGACAGATTATTACTTTTCCTGTTTTTTACAAAACTTTTTTAATACAGACACCTTCAATTCTGAAGAATAAGTCAGTCAGGCTGTCAAAAATTTCTTTCAGTCCAAACCAACCAAATTTTACAAAAAGGAAATTGATAAGCTGCCATGACGATAGGAGAAGGCCATACATAATAAATAAATTGTATTATTTACTGAAAGCAAAATAAATGTCTGTTGAAAAAAAGAAGTTATTTATTACTCAACCTAATATAAGAAAAGTTAGTCAGAACAGATAAAGGATTGCTCTTTCATACAGCTTTAATTTTTACACCTAGTTATTTTATGCATACAATAAAACAGCCATTATAAAGCATATCCTCCTTTCCCATTGTAACAAATACTTTTCTACCTATTTTTAATTTTATCCTTATCATGGTGAACAGAAGATCAGAAATTCTGTATAGGAACCAATAGATTTGGTTGCTATACAGAATTTCAGATCTTCATCATCAGCTTTCTAAATTTTTTTTTAAAAGCATATTTTTTTTCTGTTGTTATTATTACTCAGAAAATGTAATTTTTTATTAACATGCAAATTGATAAAAGCTGCCATATTAGTATTTTTCATAATAAATATACATAATTATGTAATTAAATACTCATAGTTTTTCTGTTTCTTACTCATATATAAATATTTGTAATTAAACTTCCTGCTTCTGATTATTTATTACAAAACATTAATATATTAATTCATTAAATACTATACTACTTAGAAATAAATGTTACTTCTGTGTAAATCAAGGCAAAACACTAACAACTGATGCTCATGTTCAGTTAATACATATTCACATAAAGGCAAAATACCTCATTATACTTTTAATTTATAAATCCTCTTTTTAACTTATTTTATATTAATAGACATCAATGTAAAAATATATTTTCTATACATTTCACTGAATTATTCATATTATCTCAAGATGAGCAACATTTCAAGTAAAAAGTCTTAATTAGATCTCACAAAATTTTGTTTTACACCTCAATAAAAAATTTAATTATACAATTAAATATACATTTTAATCCCTTTAATCACAACTAAAGGGAAAACATTTTATATAATACAAAATGCTGTATCTCTTGTAGTATAAAACCTAGACGTTCAACAATTTTAAATATATATGTGTATATTTATACAAAAACACTTTGGTTGTTTAATATAATGCTACATTTCACTCCATCATCCATTCGGCTGAAGCAGAATATCGCTGCAGTAGAAGGGTATAACATACGTCACAAACTCTGACTGGTTTTGCTGAAGATGGTAGAGGCATAGTGTTATCTGAACATGCATTGCAAAATATGTCACCACAATGCCTACAATGATGCTAAAAAAAAAAAAAAAAAAAAAAAAAAAAAGGTTTAATTTCTAGGAATATTTTAAACTTAAATAATATATACAGATATATATTTAAACTAGAAATAAATAACTCACATCAAAGGACCATAAAATTTAATTTCATGCAACATATAAAAACAATATTTTTCAGAAAAAAAGAGAGAAAACTATTATTACCATTAATAATGATGGACTATTAGAAAACACCTCATCTAGCCAACTAGCTTTAAGCTTCATGAAACTAATAAAGGACAAACACCCTTTTAACTTTACTTATTTGGACTTTAACTTATTTGGATCTTAACATGATTTACTACCAACATATCACCATTTCTGATAAAGGATATTTTGAATTTAATACCAACAAACTTATACACTGGCACTCTAACATTTCCCGAAAGGTTTTGACTAACAACATCATCAACCAATTTCTGAGGATTAAAAATATTTGCATGCACATTTATATTTTAAAAATGAGCCTTATTTACTTTCCAAAACACTCCTTGCAAACCAAGTTCCATTTTATTTTATTAAAATACTTTCATAAACTTGGCTTTAATTACACATAATAAAACTTCTAGTTACACAAACTTGGCTTTAATTACACAATAAAACTTTTAGTTATATATGAAGCTTTAACTTAAACTGAAGGATGTTATTTGCACAAGAGTACTTTAAGTTAAAAATGTAACTACAGTACAAAGTCTTTAATCTGGACGTCCATAATCAGGAATGATCTATAATCTGAACCTCAAAGCTACAAACTTTCTGCCCATGCGTAGTACCTTTACGCATGTGCATATGCATAACCCATGTGCATAATATGTTTATGCATGTGCGTAATACATTTATGCATGTGCGGTTAATGTATAACGGATGGTATAAGCTAGGCTAAAATTATCTAATCATCTATTTCAGTTAATGTTGCAGATTGCGTTGCTCCTTAATCTTCTAATTGGATCCGGCTTATTATTTTTTTCAGACTGTTAGAGCAATTTTATAAAAGGTAAGCTTGAACTTTCGATTATGTCAAAAAGAGTTTCCGATTCTGGAGCTGCCAAAAGATCTACAAAGCGAAAGCATGTCTCGATGTCCATCAAACAAAAAGTGGAATTGCTGCAAAAAATGGATAAAGGCATATCCGTCTCAAAATTATGTGAGGAGTATGGCATTGGATGACACAAGAAAAAAGAAAAAGGAACTTTTTGAATTTTTTGTGGAAGCATCTTAAACAACTTACATTGAACAGTGGCATAGCTAGGGTGAGGCAAGGGAGGCATCTGTTCCCGGGCGCAGCATCCAGGGGGTGCCAAATTGATGGTACGAAATTTTAGAATAAAGTGTTTTCCATTCGTGGCAAACAGAAAGGGGTGCAAAATCTCCAGTTGTCCTCGGGCGCTGAAAATCCTAGCTACGCCTCTGCATTGAAAGAAATGTTTAATAAATTAAAAAAATAAATATTAAGCTCTTTTATTTTTCCTTGTAAATTTTGATACTCTTTAGATCATAACTGCTCTTTATTTCATAAATTACGATTTCATATTTTTAATTTTATAATTTCTGCATGCCATCTTACCAGATTTAAATTGATGATCTATAATCCGGAAAAAACCCTGATCCGGAATTGCCGAAATCCCGACGAGTCTGGATTAAAGACTTTGTACTGTATTTTTCCCTGAAGCAAAAATCTGTTATTAACAGCCTAATTTCTCTTCAAGTGGCATTACTGTCAAAAACATGAAAACTGTATATTTGTCTGTTTCTTCTATACTTACAGCTTCCACAGAATATTATTTTTTAATAATTTATTTGAAAATTCAGTTTCCCAATTTTACATAAAAAAAAATCTCTGCAATAAGCTCTGCATACCAAATAACCATTTTTTTGATACAATTTCCATACCAATCACTGTTTTCTTTAAAATTGATGCCAAATGGCAACCCTTCATTTTCCCCACTGTTTTAAGTTGTTACTCGGCATTTAGCGCAATAGGATACTGAAAGCAATCAGTAAATTTTTTTTCTGTATATTTGACATTAACTGAAGGTATTTTAATTAAATTTTTTGTAAATTTTGATTATCCGTTATAAAATTTTTTAACTATTTTTGATTCTATCAATTCAATTTATTTATAAAACCATTTTTGAAAATACATTTTAAAATATGGATTTTATTGTTTGCATTTTTTTCCCCTCCAGTATAGAAATCCAAACACAGGGGAATGGGTTTGTGAGCATTTTTGTATTATTATAAAATTCAATAAAAATTTTTCAAAACCACTCACAATGTAGTAGAATGCCTTTGGATATGGCCATTTCCCTGATGAGCTCTAAACTCAGGGAAATAATTATCATGATTCCATATTTAAAATTTAAATACTAAATTAAAAAGAACTGTATTCAGTTTTTTTTCCAAAATACTGGTTTTATATCTTGAATTTTGAAATTAATTATTTTGGTCTTAGGAGGGCACTATTAATTTACTTCTAGTATAAAGTATTAAAGCTGTTTTTGCACTAAATATCTATTTTTACCAAATTGTATTCATATTTTTTCTTGAAATTTGAATACATCTATAGATATATATACAAACATACTACATATATATGTGTGTGTGTGGCGTGCATGTTGTTAAATATAAATTTGTGATTATGTATTCTCAGCTTACCAATAGATGGTGGTAGTGTTTATTTGTGATGTTATAATTGTGTGTATGTAGTAGTTCATCTTTGATGTTCATGAATAAACATTGTGTAGAGTAACACTCTCTCTGTTTATTACTTTAAATTTGATCCAGTCTGATTTATTGTAGATGTATACATTTTTTTAATGGTGCCTCCTTACTCAGATTATTACAAATTGGAATAATTGACAGACTGAACATTTCAAAAATGGAGGGCATTCTTGAAAATTTGAAAAATAAATTATCTGTTGTGAGGCAGTTAACTACAAAACTGTTAACCAAAGTCGAAATGAATTTAGCAAACAATAGTCCACTAAATGAAAAATTGAAATAATTAATGATTTTTATGATAGCTCATAGAGAAAATCAACAAGCTGAAATGTTTAGATTTAGAAATCAAAACGAAAGTAACTTTGGAGGAGACTGAAAATGAAGTTATAGTAAGTCAAGAATACTGGGATAAAACTGCTATGTGGGAGGGGGATAGAAGATATTTTTGAAAAAGAATTCAGAATGTTCTAAAGCTGCAGTACATTAGAATGAAATGGCGAATGTTACACTTACAGAAGAAATGAAAGTAGTGAAGGTATCATGTCTGCAAATCGGAACTTATAATAGAGATTCATGTAAATGGTTGGACTTTGGAACCAGTTCAAAAATACAATTTACAATAACAGTGGACTGGAAAAATTTATAAATTTGCATACCTAAAATTTTACTTAGTGCTTGCTTTAGCTGCCATTTCCAGTTTCCCTTTAAGTGGGCAGAATTATGATTCCACATTAGAAATACTGTAAATGTTTCAGAAGACAAGATGTAGTTAGTCATCACTTGGCATACAAAATCATCATTACCTCTTGAAACAGTGGGGAACATTTCAAATGTTAAAGCCCTGCATAAACTGTATGATGAATGTGAAGTCAACATCCAAAGTTTAGAATCATTAAACATTACTCCTGGAAGTTATGGAAATATCCTTTGTCCTATAATTTTGCAAGACTAAATTTAATTCCAAAGGTATTAAATTTAGAATTTAATTGACGTTGAAAAATAGAAGCAATATTTGATGTAAGGAAACTTACAGAATTCTTAAAAAAGAAGTTAATTGCTGAGAAGTTTTAAGTTTGATAAATTCTGCAAAAACCAATCAGAAACTATGCATTCGTCAAAATGAACAACATACGAAAGCTTATCCAAATTATAAACCAAAAATTCTGACTGCTTCAGCTTTGTCAACAATTGGATACAAATGTATATTTTATGATAAAGAAGACCCTACGAAATACAAATGCACTGAAGTGAATTCCAAAGAGAAAACAACATTTTGAAACAAACCAGGAGGTGTCTTCTGTGTTTTGGAGCAATCAAAAACAAAAACCATTTTGAAACAAATGTTTGTGAACCCACCAATCTGTTTTTGGCAATCAATAATCAAATTGGTAAAAAAAACACTTACCTGCAAAAAAAATTATCATGGTAAACATCATGAAAGTGTTTGTATAAATCCCACATGAGCTGTATCCACTGTAAAAAATAAGGAAACCGAAACATCGTCGGAAATTGTTCAAATCCTTTTGCTAAACCTGGATCTAATATTACTTGTATGCTTCAAATGGTGTACGCTATGGCTGAGGATAGAAATAACATTGTATTGTGAGGTGTCTTCTTGACAACAATAGTCAAATCTCTGCAATTAGAGAAGATTTATAAAGAGAATTAAAATTAGCAGTGAGAGAGGAAACTATTTTAAATCTGCATACTTTCCGTGAAAAGAACAGAAAACATTGCCATTGAAACAAAACTGAACTTATTCTAAAAAATACTAATGACCCTGCAAAATACATAAATCTTGAAATCATCAAAGTACCATTCATTAATAAATGCGGACATATGGGTACCAGATATAAAAATCAGTTAAAACTCCAAATATTCGGCATCACTTTAACCCCTTCGAGCCGGGTAGCAAAAATGCGTGTTTATCACGGAGGCCGGCAGTGTCTTCCGCGAGCGTCTCTCCAGGGCCGGGGGGCTTTTTTGCAAGTATCAAAACATTGTTTAATAATGCTCTATAGAGTATTTAAAAAGCTTATGCTTTAAATAGATATTTTTATATATTATACTTTAAATTACCTTATTTCTTGTTTAAAAATGTTTAAATGCATATTTTACACATTTCATTTAATTAATCACAATTTTATGACTTTTTAAAATTATAAATCTGAAAACTAAATATATTACTTAAAATTCTCTTTTCGTATGAAAAATTTGAAAAACAGGGATCTACACACAGTTTACGTTACATTCCTTGAACTCGTAATAACCATTTGCCATTTTGGAGGATTTTTCCGGGAATGTGAACAAAAACGAAGCACATCGTCGTCTCATTTTCTTATCAGTCTCTTTCTGAACAAAGTTTTGGAAAAATGTCTTCTTTCAGTTAATCTTTCAGAATCAATATCAGAATATCAGAATTTCAGAATCAATATCTGAAATATTTTTGCATCATTTCTGCTATTTCATGCTCTGTTAAACCATTTTGTTTTTTCGACGCTTCGACATTGCAACGGTAAAAACAGAAAGAATTCACGTCTAACAAGATCTAATATTTTCTAAAACTGAAACTGTAAACCGAAATACTCAACGCTTGCTTTAGAGCCATATAAAACTCTACTTACATAAACAACTACCATGTGCGATAAGTACGGGATTTAAAAACGTCATAATCACGCCATTCGGAAACATTTAGTTTCCCTGTTTGTTTATATAATCAAAAACACGTGTATGTGAGTCATGCTTCTCTCTCGGTGTAGAGGTCGAGGAATGCTAATGTACATGTATCTGAAACCATATGGACATACAGTGCCATCTTGTAGCTGAAATTATAGTTTCTAAAACGTTCCAGGGTACTGGCACGAATACGTGACAGTCGTTAGTAAACGGGAAAATGCTCTGGCACGCCTGCGTGTCGGCTGGTAGGTGAGTATGTTCATTGCTGGCACGTAGATGTGACAGTCGGCATGAAGGGGTTAACATACTCCAGTGGCACCAACAGAATGAACCATGAGATTTCCATTTTAATCAGCATGGTTATTATATGGAAAATAGCAAGTGAAGAAATAAAGAGAATAAACAGTAATGCCAGGGTGATGAAAACCTAGTTCAGTTAATATATAGAAGGCAGAGTTTCTTCTTCAGATTTTCAAATGCACAATGTATATTTAAACATAAGTGTTGAAGAGAAGCCTTTAAAAAGCATGGAATCATGTTGTGAAATTCAATCTATAGGAATAAAAAATGTTTCTGATCAAGAACAAAATGAAATGGCTTTATAAATATTTGAAAACAACACAAAAGGGTGAAAGATATGAAGTTAAGACTTCCACGGAAAGATAGCACTGAATGTTTACATTAAGCATCATTTAAAGAAATTTGAAAATATCTATCCCAGAATTGTATAAATGTTAGAAAACTTTGTGTATATTGATAACTTTATTTGTGGATCAGATATTGAGAAGGAAGCTGTACAAATATACCGTGAAGTTAATGATATAATAAAAAAGGCATCAATGACTCTGACCAAATGAAATTCTAATTCCGATACTTTAAAGAACCAGTATTAATCAAATAACAACATCGTCAGTTTTAAACTGCCGACTGTGAACCCCTCAAAGATTTTTGGGCTTCAATAGAACACTAATAAGGATATCTTCTGTTTCAATGTTCAAGATATTATAGATTTTATCTTGTTACATGATCAAACAAAGCACTGAGTTTTGAAAGCCACTTCAAATATCTGTTGGGTTTCTTGCTCCATATTAGATTCAAGAAAAGTTCTATTACAAGATTTATGGCTTAATGGTATTGATTGAGATGAAATCATCAAACCAGAATTGCAAGACAAATCAAACAAATGGTGTAGGCAACTATGTGATCAACCAAATACTCAAACATCTCGTTGGTATTTTCATGATGTTGATGAAATGCCTAAAGTGTTGGAACTACATTTTTTTTTTTGTGATTCATCTCATACTGCTCATGGATCTGCATTGTATATGAAATTCCGTAAGTTAAAATGTTCTGGAGCAAGTTTAGTTCATCTCAAGAAATTATCTTAACCAAGACTCGAACTCGTAGCAATGTTAAGTACAAATTTTATAACTACAGTCTGTGTGCATTTTTTTTCAAGTGAAGATTTATTTATGGACTGATTCTCTTATTGTGCTTCACCAGATAAAGAACTCATCATGGTGATGGAAAACATTCATACAAAATCGCATATCAGAAATTCAAGCTAAAACATCATTGTCCTGCATCAGACAATCCTGCCATTAAAATCACACATGGTGTTAAAGTGAGTGAGCTTGTAGTAGAATGAGTATGGTAGGTAATAATGCTCTCTGTTTATTACTTTAAATTTGGTCCAGTCTGATTTATTATAGATTTAATACATATCTTTAGTGTACATATAAAATTTTCAGTTTCAGTTTCCAGTTTTAAATCACAGCCTTTGAGATACTTGTACATTACTTTCATAAAACTACAGACAGAATAATTTATTTTTTGTCACTTATAGTGGAATATAAATATATATGTTACTAGAAAAGTTTGAAATATGGCATTCTATAGAATGCCTAGGCATTGTACATAAAGCTTAAAACTAGCCAGCAATGTATGAAAAAATCCCGTTTATGATACCTTTTGTGTGTATTTAAAGGAAACGAATGATGTACTTGCATGCAAAAAATGTTATAAAAAATGCACACCATCTGTGGCCATGCTAGTAAAGATGATGAAATGGATGTTTTGTGCACCCTTTGTTTCAAAACTGAAAATGCTACTGTTCTAAAATCAATCTGGAAATACAAGCCAAAAAAATTAAAATGAATTTGGAAAAACAATTTCCCACTTCTTTGGGAATTACTCTGCAAGTTCCTACTCCTGAGGTCAAAAAGGGGGAGGTGATTCATGCAATATATTGGCATGTTTTATGTTCTATATTCTATAGAATGGTGGCGTTTCATACTTTACCAATAACATATACAGTCAAATACCGAAAATCCGCCAACTCCTGAAATCCGCGTTGCCTCTCAAAATATAAACATTCAGCTTATAGTTTCCGGAAACCACAACATTGAGAACGAAATATCAAAGAAAAAGTACTAACAAATAATGACGTCATAATTACCAAATAATAATGAGTCATAACGGAAATACTAAATTATTGACATCATAATAAAAGTTGTTTTTCCCTCTAATCTACATCAAGGTAAGAAAAAGCAGACGATTCACTCAACTCTTCTTTCAAGTTCACGATTCACGTTGCTGTATTTTCTGAGTTTTGCTATTTCACGAGACTATTTAGTGCTGCTTTTTTTTTTTATCTGGATATTTTGTGGATAAATTAAGAATATTTTAAATTTCAGTCCTTTTTAACACAATGACAAATAAGAAACGCATTCACAATTTAACTGCTTGCTACGTTGAAAAACGTAAACACGTTGCATTGACGGTAATGCAAAAAGGGCAAATTCTGCTAAAGATGGAGGCAGTTTCCACTCCTTGGTTTATAACAGACTCGTATGGAATTGTGACACGATTATGTATGATATATGGAAAAATAAAGAAAAGCTGTTGAAATTTTACAGCAATCTAACACTGGAATCCGAAACCGGAAATCTTTGCATGAGGTGAAATCAACAAACCTGGATGCTGTGTACATATAATACAATGAATAATATAATCAATTTATATATGTAATAATAATTTAATGCATATAATAAATTATTGCAATAATGTATATAATAATTTAGTTAAATGTATCTAATACACCTTATTTATTTTGCACTTTGAGTCTGAATATTATGATTTATCTTTTCTGTCCTAAAATCCGCACAACCTCTGGTCCCAAGCTTTGCGGATTTCTAACTGTACATTAAAATAAACAAATAAGTTTAATTTCATGCATGTATCAAAAACACATTCATATCTGAACATAAATATAGGCACTTTTCTATTTGGTGTGTATACAATTGATTACAAACAAAGTGTATACACGTATAAGTGTTTCTGATTCTGGCATGTATACCCACACATAGATGTGTACATAGCAGGGGCGTAGCTAGAGGGGGGCAAGGGGGGCATCTGTCCCCGGGTGCAGAATCCAAGGGGCGCCAAACTGATGTTACGACATTTTAGAATTAAATGTTTTCCATCCTTGGCAAGTAGTAGAGGGCACGAAATCTTCAGTTGTCCCTGGGCGCTGAAAACCCTAGCTACGACTCTGGTACATAGGTATGTTTCTGAATCCGGTCTTAATAACAGAAAAATACCATAATATCTTTAAAATCGGGTTAGCTAATTAGCAGTAAATATGCAAAATTATAGTCAATACTCTCATGTAACTCAATTACAAAATCAATAATGATAAAAATTCTAAAATTTGTTACACATGTAAAAAAAATAAATTTTGATAAAAATGGTATTTTTAACGTTGAATTACTTGAAAATACTTAGAAATCATAGAAAGACATTATATAAAATCAGTATGCACCTTTCGCCTTGCTACTGAAAAAGCTTTATTACATTGTCTACATATTGTTGCTTGTTTATCATGAGTCCAGACTGCTTCCTTCAGAGCCATTTGATTTTCCTTCATATCTTCTATTTTTAGTTTTGATCTAAATTACAATAAAAAATGATGACAATTTCAAATACAGAAACTATATAATATTAGGAGAATTTTTTTAGTAAAAATTTTAACATAAGATCATATATGTTTAATAAACAAATTTAAATTTAAAATATGTTTAATAAACAAATGGATGATTATAGCAATATTTGAAATATTACAAACAACAAGGTCCCATTACTTAAGGATGAACAAGCTTTTTTTTTTTTTTTTTTTTTCCATTGAAACATGTAATGTTATATGAATCTTGAAAGATCAATAAATACAAAATTAAATTTATATATTAGCTCACATTTGGACTATAGATTTTGAAGATTTTCTTATGAGTAAATTACAATTGTGATGATTATTAATATCAGCACTTCAGTAAATGCTATTTAAAAAAATAAATGATTACATTTACTTAAAATTAGACAAAACAGTAACCTTATGTTTACACGCACGCGCACACGCACGCACACACACACGCGCACGCACGCGCACACACACACACACACACACACACACACTATTTACTTAATAATATTTATTAATTGATCATATTATCTCCTAAAAGAGAGAATCCCATACTAGTAAGTTATATTTGAAAGATGTTTTGAAGTAACTTGAAAGTTAAATGTTAAAAGTATTTTAATGGGGACTGGAATTAAATCATGAATAACAAAATTTCAATTGTAAAACGATTAAATTAAATGCATGTAATCATTGTCATTGATCGGAAATTACTTGACTTTTCAAGGGGAACAAACCAACTCCCGTTCAATGAACAATAATTAATAAATAAATACGAAGGTGTTTCGTCTTTACTCGAGCAATAAGGCTAAGAAGCCAAACCGGCAATTCAAGTCAGGCCAAATATTTCCGTGAGTAGAAGGGATTATGAACCCATGCTGATATTCAAAGAACTTATTCCTATTAAGCATTTTAGCCAATTCAATTTTGAGTGAAAAGCAATTTCTGCAGTAAATTTCGATAATGCTCGAGTAACCATCCCCCCTATATATATATATATATATATATGTAATGCTATTTTTAAATCAATTGATTAAATTAAATTCTATTAATATTGCTTAATAATGTGTTGGCGATTCTCTACCAAAATTGCATCCCTGCTCCTAAATTTTGGCGAAATCCTTTCTTTAGTATAAAATATATTAACCTGTTGGCACCAACCAAATCGCCAAACTCATAAATCTGTCATATTACATAAAGTACTTAAGAACACTCCTGATGAGAAGATAGCGTCACCTCGTGATTTCAATTAATATCACTGATTGGATGAGCCTCGTGACGCACACATAGGTATAAATAGGGCTTCTGCTCAAGGTACGAAAAAGAACGCTGTGAGATGGATGCTAAAATAACCTAGCACTTTATATCCAAAATTTGTCTCATTCTGTTGCCCCTGCCCTGCAAGCCCCGGCTGCAAAAAAAACAAATAATGTATGAGAAATTACATTCATATAATATTATATACATATATGTAGTACAAAGTCCGAAATCTGGATATCCATTATCCGGAATGATCTAAAATCTGAACCTCAAAGCCACAAACATTTTTTTTAATGCTTTACGCATGCACATTTGATTTTTCCTTCCATAATAAAACATGCGGAGATTTTCACTTAAAAGTTCCAATTCTTAATTTCACTTAGGCACTAAATAAAATACATAATTATGGAAAAACAATCATGTAAGGAAAAATTTATGAGATTAATAAATTTGGGGGGGGGGGGGGGGGGGGGGGGGGGGGGGGGGGGGGGGGGGGGGGGGGGGGGTCCGTAGCTGAGTGTCTGCTTGGCATATATCTCAAGCTGAAACATTCACCTATTTTATATCCCTGACAGCGCCTTGGAGAGTCATTATTTATGTAGGATTTACTTTCAAAGAACATGGTAGAGCATGACTTAAGCATAATTACTGCTTTATTTTTACTAATATTAAATAAATGAAATAAAAGATAAAGTTAATAATTCAGATGGCGATCTCATGGTGAAAGCAAGTCCAACAGTTCTACAGGATTCATGACTAACACACAGTCCTCAATAAATACATTCATGGGCCTGTCTGCCCTAATATGGCTAGCTATATAGACAAGCATCTTGGAGGATCTGCGGACTGTCTGCCCGCTTATTCCATTCCATCTTTCAACTCGAAGTTATCCGCTCTGTGCTTCAATTACATCTTAATTTCAGTACTTCCAGTGGTCGTCTGCTGCTCTGCAAGCTGCACTACGTCATGGCTTGCTGAGTTGAAGTAGAAGTGAAGGTAGTCGAAGAATCAACCTCCACATTTATTATATTTTGCTTTCATCACCGCATGTTTATCAATACATGACAGCTTCAGTAATAACTCATGCAGTAATGTCTAAACATTTTTTTTATATTAGTAATTGAATAACAAGAGTTTGGCAACCTTTTAACTAACATTTTAGCTAACATTACGCTTGGTGATGATTACAGATTTTTAAATGCTTTAAGAAATGTTGATGAGGAAAAATTCAACAAAATTTTTTTCATATGCTAAAAATAAATTTTGTGAATAAAACTCATAAGCCAAAAGATTACATTTAGTGGTATTTAATTAAGAATAACTGATATGATATTCACCATAAATCCAGAAGTGGAGGCAGAATATGTCAGCACCGAATAGCAGAATTTAGGGAAGACAAAATTTTTGGAATTTGGGGAAGCACCGAGTCGCAAAATTAAGACAAACTTTTCTTAATCGGAAAAATACATGACCTTGAGCATTTAAAGGAGTAATGTTTCCCCCGTTATATATCTTGCAAATAAAAGAGCATGGATGACACAAGCGTTAATGAATGATTGGTTTGAAAATCATTTTATACCTGAGGATCAGCAACATTTGAATTCGGTTGGTTTACCTGATGACTCAAAAATAGTCCTGATTGTAGACAACTGTTTGGCTCATACTTAAAGTTTAAGTTGAAAGATAATGTATTTGTATTATTCTTCTCTCCCAATTGTACATCTGTCATTCAGCCTACGGATACCAGAATAGTGCGCATGCTGAAACGCAAATATAAAGTAGCATCTTTAAAATCCATGTTATATTTCTTGAACAATAGCAAGACTATTCAAGAATTTTTTAAATATTTTAGCATAAAATCTGTGTGGAGCATCACAAGATCATTGGAGGATGTGTCTTCCAGATATGTTAAAAAATGCTTGGCATAATTTATCACCAGCTACCATATTTCATGGTGAGGACGATGAAGCTGATAGCCACGAATTTGAAGGTTTTTTTCTGATATCGCAAACTAACAAATGATAACAAATGAAGATGATATAACAGAAGTTTTTCATTGTGATGACAATGCCTCAATCATCAATCAATTAACAAACGGCGAAATCTGTAGTGTGGTTCTAGATCCAGAAAATACTGCTACTGACAGTGAAGAAAATGACAGAGAGGTTATTGAAAACGAAAAAATTTCGATTGACAAGTTCGACTGGCAATTGGTATTCAAACAAATAAATATTAAGATTTTTTTGTAAATTTTGATACCCTTTAGATCATAATTGCTCTTTATTTCATAAATTATGATTTCATATTTTAATTGCATAATTTCTTCATGCCATCTTACCAGATTCAAATTAATGGTCTAATATGCGGAAAAATCCCAAATCTGGAACCGCTGAAATCCCGACGAGTCCGGATTCCGGACTTTGTACTGTATATATGTATACATATATATAAGTAAAAAATAGTTAAAATTAAACTTTTTTTAAAAGAGAGATTGACTTGAGTAAATTTAATAGTGACAGGAAAGTTGCTGTCAAGAGATTATAAACTACTTCACGGTAACAGATACATAAAAAATTAATAATACTCATTTGAAAATGTATGCAAAATGACTGTAAATTATAAGCAAGAACTATTAATACTAATTGCCAATTTCGCTCAGAATACAGTATTACATAATAATAATTTTGCTGAAAATAACTATACCAAAGTTCCATTTTAGATATTGTTGCGTGCGTACGGGTTCGTAATGGATTGAATGCACACGTCGAAAAAAAAAAAAAAAAAAAAAAAAATTAAAATAAAATTTATTATTATCAAAAAAGAAATATAAGCAAAACACTGAAATGTCCTCAGAGATATTCGCACAATATCGCAAATTTCTCGCCGTTAGTTTATATTTTGAACTACTAAAACGTTGAATAGAACTCAATTCAAAACACTGAAAAAAGCTAATCCGATCTCACAGCGAACTCGCTACAATCAATAACAGCACTAAGTAAACAACTAATAAACAACTGAATTGAGATGTTTTTCTTCGGCTTTTGTAAGCTTTTCAATCCTGCAGGAGAACATTCTGGTATTTTTCCGATTTTTTGGCTATCAAACGAGTACAATTAAGAGATATCTATTTATTAAATGTTAAATGCGCGTGCTCCTGTATTTTAAATTTTCCTACGTAGCTTTCTCTTCAAATAAGTCACGTGCTGCATTGTACGGGGACATAAAACAATTTTAACTGATTCTACTAAAAATAGAAAACTAAATACAAAATTGGTAACAATATTAAATCAAACTCAAAGTTATGTATGTGTTTGGATCATTTGGCAGTAATACATCTTATTGGCAGTTCAAAATGCAATTTAAAAATAGGTAAATTAAAAATACGCAAATTTAAAACTTTGAAATTGAAAATATATAAAGAATCATAATTAAACTAACTAAAACTTTACTGTGAAATAAGTCAATTTGTAGAGACATTAGGTTATTTTTGATGCTCAGAGATGTGAAAAATGAGCAATGTCTTTGCCGGGACTCGAACCACGCAACTCTCGATATGCACCCAGTGTGCTCACTATTCCACCACGAAGACATGCTAAGAAGGCTGGAGAAATACCTTATATACTCCCGCTTTTAAAGGGAGACTGAGATTAGGGGACCCGATCACCAAATCCTGGCGGTGGAGAATTATCATCCACCAGCGTTTTTAGTTCGGGGGCCACTGTAGAGACATTAGGATTTTTTTTAAGTACAAAAGATGGAAAACGAGTAATGACCTCGCCGGGACTCAAACCACAGATCTCTCGATACGCGCCGAGTGTGCTGACCATTACACCACGAAGGTATGCTAAGAAGGCGGGGGCAATACCTTATAAGTTAACAGTTTTTAATTAAAAGTATCAGTAAATATAAATATTAAAATCAAATTATTTTGGAAAAAAATAACCTTGATCAAAATTAGACCTTATTAAAATTTTAAAAAGTGTGAATTTGATTCTGTTTTTATAACAATCTCTTTCTGAAATTTCGTGAGGCATCAGGGAGGGATTATTATTCAATACATCATCTGTGACTCAAATGTTTCATTCTCCTAAATTTATCATTTATACACTGCTCGACATTGAAAATGCAACACCAAGAAGGAAGGGTCAGAAATTTACGCAAATTTTGGAGTAGACGCACGTCACTGAGTTATGCGAATGATGCGAAATGTGCAGCTCTCCGATGCATGTGAAGTAAGATATAAGGGAAGGAATGTGCAGAATGGGCAATATTTGTGTCATTATTTCTGCCAGAAGAATTATCGAAGAAAGTTGGTTTTTGTCCCGGAGGATACGTGTAATAGGAGAGAATGCCAAACCGCCACCAACAAAGGCACTTCCGGCAGATAAATGATTTTACGAGGGGTATGGTGATCGGACTGAGAAGGGGGGGTTGGTCCTTATGTCAAATTGCAGCTGATACCCATATGGATGGGAGCAAGGTGCATCGGCTATGGAGAATATGGTTGGAACAAGGAAATGCGGCAAGAAGGAGGGGTGCAGGCGCAGCCCAACTGATGTCAACATGCGTGGGTCGACGCATCCGCCGACAAGCTGTGGCAATCCTGCAAGTAACTTGTACCATGATTCTGCAACATGTGCAAGATACCCTGGATATTCTCGTGTCAACCAGAACCATTTCCCGTCGATTGGTTGAACGCGGACTGCACTCACGGCATCCGTTAAGAAGACTGCTATTGACACCACAGCATAGATGCCAACGTTTAGAATGGTGCCGGACTGGAGTGATGTGGATGACAGAATGGCGAAAAGTCGTGTTCTCAGATGAGTCACGCTTCTATTTATCCAGTGACAGTCGTCGCATATGCATGTGGTGTCGACGTGGAGACAGATCTAATCCGGCAGTAACTTTGGAACGCCCCATCACGCGACAACGTGGCGTAATGGTTTGGGGCACTATTGCCTATGATTCCAGGTCACCTCTAGTTCGTATTTAGGGCACTATGCCCAACGATACTTGGATAATGTACTGCAGCTGGTGGCAATCCCCTACCTTCAGGGCTCCCTAATGCAAGTTTTCAGCAGGATAACGCCCGACCACACAGTGCTTGCATCTGCTAACATGCTCTGCAAGGTATACAGCGGCTTCTCTGGCCACCATACTCTCCTGATCTTTCATACTCGAACATGTGTGGGATGTGATTGGATGCCGTTTGGAGACTCTGCCCCTGCCTCATTCAGAAGACGAACTGTGGCAAATGGTTGAAAGGGAATGGAGAGCCATCCCTCAGGACACCATCCGCACTCTTATTGACTCTATGCCTAAATGTGTTTCTTCGTACATTGCTGTCCACGGTGGTTCTAAATCCTACTGAGCCGACGCCGTTCTCGCTCTGTATTCTGACTATCATTTTGAAATAAATATCACTTATTGCTGCTTGTTGTCTCTGTCTTTTCTCCAAATTTCATCACTTTCTGACCACTCCTTCTTGGTATTGCATTTTCAATGTCGAGCAGTGTATTAAAGAAATTAGTACAGCAATAGTAATATAAAAAACAGAAGCAATGTTTACTGACAGAATTATAAATTTTCTGATAAGAAAAAGTATTTGCATTTAATTTACAAAATTTAATATTAAGTTAAATCTTATTATAAATAGGAATAGCAAATCCAAATCATTTAATCTCACAAATAAAAAAAAGGATGAATTTTTCTATGCTTTTTTCACAACTTGAAATTTTTGACTCCTTACCTAAACACCCATAAATGTTTTAACTTGAAATTTTAAAAAGATTATTTTTATTGATGCTCAGTATAAATGTTCATTAAAAAGAGGTTGCAATCACTGCAATTTAATGTTTCATCACCAGTGTTTACTCTCATGCCTGCTGGCCATGTTAGCAACATGATATAGCATTGAATGTTTACTCTCATGCCAGGTGGTCTCATTAGCACTATGATATAGCACTATACTTGCCATGAATTTTAAAATGTAGCTAACCAACAACTGTTTTCATATGTACTTTTAAGCAGATTATATATTGATTGGATTATATTTAATAGAAGTAGACTAAATTTATTAAAGTCGTAATTAAATGAGATTTTGCAGTTATTTTTTGGTGCCATTTAGACTAGTGGCCAGTAAAACAACCAGTACCTTGTGGCAATCTCAAATGCCATATTCTTATTTTCTGAAGTCCATGTTTAACTGCATTAATTCTTAAAATATTTTCCTTCCCTCTACACTTCCTTTGATTTACATTGTGAATAAAAATTACTCAAATACTTTTTATCAAATTACATTGAGGAAATGCACCTCATGGTTCAAGAACTTTAACTGCGCTTTTTATTTTATACATTTCATTTGTATATTATTAAAAAAAATATGGCTGCATTTTAAAAACTATACTCTTAAATTTATTTTTCATTAAACACATAAGTCTGCTTTAATTAAAAGATTTTAATATTAAAAAAGACTTTATTTCTTTCTCCTTCTTCAAATCATTCTTCTCTGACAGATTCTAGAGATTTGAGGCTCAAGAAACAGAAAATTTAAAATTCTTCACATTTTTAACCACAAATTCTTCCTTTCTTGTCAGCATGCAATTGGAACAAATTTTGCCTTTTTCTTCATAATGGCAATTTAGGTTGGTTTTGCCAATCAATTTTGTGTAATCTAAATAAAGTGCTAATTTTAGAACTGTAATATTATTTGAAAACTAAAGGAAATTTCTCTTTATAACAAGTTTACTTATTAAAATGATGGAATAAACTTTACAAACTTTTGTATTGTTGTTATTATTACAACAATACAAAAGGAATTCAGACTGTTTTTTTAAGAAATAGATTTTGTTCTACATCATTTAGATAGATATCATTGCTGAAAAGAATTGCTTCTAATTCAAAGTTTAAAACAAAACTACAGCAAATAAAAAGCTACACATTAAGAAGAATTTAAGAAATATTATTGCAGAAATTCAAATGTTTAAATGGATTTATATTTTGTACTAACTCTTTTAACTGAGTTCCCATTTCTTCTAATGTTCTTTCGTGTTCATCGTGTAACTTCTGCAGTTGTGAATGATTAATTTTCAACTTTTCATATTCCTGTAAAAAAAAAAAAAAATATATATATATATTATTTCATAAAATTAATTTCTATCTCAGGGAAATAAAAAAAAAAACAAGTTAATTTTTTAATAATGAAACTTTAATATATTAAAAATTAAATAACTATTGAAAATTAAATATTTAATTTGGACTATAGCATAGATATCAGAAATTACATTTTTTAATTATAAAGATAAAAATGAATAATGATAAACTAATGCATTTTAACCTTGTGCAAAAAGGAAAATAAAATTTAATAAAAAGATATTAAGAGTACTTATTGAAAATATTAAGAGCAGTTAATACACGAAATTCCTGGAAAACACTTACTAACATAGGACAAAAACTATGAATACATTTTTCAAAACTAATTTTACTAAACTGTTATTTGTGAATTTTCTCACAAGCCTTAATATCTGATTCCAGTTACTTTTAATGCACAGAAAAGAGTAACTATTGAATTTTTTCTAATGATAATCTTCATTTCCAACATTTTTCAAATTTTGATTTAAAAATTGAATTACCATAGTCACTTAACCCTTTGACGCGTGGTGGTCGCACCTTGAAACCACCAATTTTCAAATTTTTTTCTCCTCTTCTTTCCAAAATTTTTGATTGAAGATCAATTGATTACTGATCTTTTACCTCTAAATAACGCAAAATGACTGCAGAATCATGCATGTTTTAGGTCTTAGTACTTCAAATCGGATGCCTTTTAAAATTTGTTTTCAATGAGAAAAAATAACTTCCTTTTATTAATATAAACAACTTTAAATTTCAAAAATTATTCATCGCACATCATGATTTCTATCATAAACAATAAAAAAATGCAATAATTAAACTGCATATATAAAAAAAAAATCCTCTATATGTATGGCATTTGCTTTGTGGTTTCAGAGAGTGACCAAGTCGCTAGAGCATTGTGTCACAATTGCTCACAATCCTCTAGAGGCTCGGTCGCACCTTGAAACCACTGCTCTTCACAATGGCATTTGCTTGCTTTTCAAATAGGAATGTTTATTTTTACCAGATATAGATAAGGGGCTTTGAAACCACTGAGTTATTTTATTACTAAACAATACATGCCCCTGCCTACTAAAAAGGTCTTTCTTTTCCAGAGACTTTTCTCTGACCTTAACACACTTGCTCCCCAAGCTAGTATTGTGATTTTATAAATTATTTCGTGTGATTTAAATTTAACGTAAGTATACAAAAAATATATATTAAATTTCAAATTTTAAAAAAACTGAGTTTTTTTTAATCCTTATTTTGCTGAGTTTTTTAATCCATTTATCCGAACGTCCTTATTATGTAGGTACTGCTATAGAAAATTTCACTGCTATAGAAAAATTGCATAAATGTCTTTTTTTAATTTTTTCTAACGATTTACTTTGTAAAATAATGTAAAAAATTATATATAATGCAATTCTTACATACACTTTTTTAAAAATTCGTAAATTTCATCATTTATTGGAAACGTGCATGGAAAAAGGTAAGTTTATTTTTCTACTACCTCAGTAAGTTTCAAAGTTCTAGACGCGCGGTGGTTTCACAGTGTGACCACTACCCACAGAAAAATGGGCAAGAGTAGATTTTTTTTAATGCATATGTTATTTGTCTCTAGGATCATAATATTCAATTTCTAGAGTTTTAGTAAAAAAATTATAAAAATAATATCGCGTGTGTCAAAGGGTTAATCAATGATTAAGTAAATAGGATTCCTGAACAATAATAACAGTTCATATCACAATTGGTTCCAAACATATGATTAGACTAGTGGTATGGGATTACATACTTTACCACATGTGTACCATGAATATCAGCTTATTTCCCTTAATATAATATATTCTTTGTGAAGGCAAACCTTCAAAGCTTGTCCCTAAAAAAATCTTTACCTAACTTAACCATAGTTAAGAGAAAATGTGTGCATATAGAGACATAAATAAAATCGCATTTATAAAACATAATCATTTTCTCCAATTTATGTGACTGATTTTACCAAGATCAAAATATAACCTTTTCATTTGTAAATAAATGTTACCTATTATGAACATGTGGAAATTATCTGAAATCAAAATTTAAAAACTTTACAAAAATGTATATAAGTATTATTTATCATACATATCAAATTACAAATAGTAATATAATCAAACTGTCACATACAAGTTGATAAAAAATTAAGTAATGTACAGTTTTATTCTTTTTTCAAGATAGAAAATGGCAAATGTTACTGAATTACAAATTGTACATATAATTTTTAAAACAATCTTTCTTATGTATTTTGAAAGCAGACATTATATTTTCAGTTTATTTTAGTTATAAAATGCATATAACACAATTATAAATTGCATGTATATAATGAAAATTTAGAACATTGTTAAAGTTGAACTAAATTACATATTATAATTAAATGGTTAAGTTATAAAATGCAAATATTATAATTAATTAAGTTCTTATTAATATGTCTATATTCAACATCTTTGGAAATATTTATTACTTTCATTAAATTTAAATGACTCAAATTACTTCTCACTTGCCATTAAATACAAGCAAAAGTGCCATGCTTGTCGGGATGACGATGACATTATATCCCACACAGATCTAATTTAAACATTTTTTTGTTATCTATAAACACAACTTTTATGTACAAGAATATTTATAGAAGTAAATAAAATGTAGTTAGAGAAACAACCATGTGTTTTAGTCTTTTAACTCAGGTGTTCTCAACACCCTACAAAATTTTACCACTCAAGCTGGCTAAAAACCAAACTCAAACACGAGTGCGAACACCCTACCAAAGTCCTTGCAGACAACTGCAATCTTCAATTAACGGTTTGTCTTCTTTGCTGGCTCTTCACTACAATAAAAAGCCAGCTGATTAGCTAACTGTGAACAGATACATGACAAACAGCTATGTGGATTATTATGTACAAGCAACAATATAATTAATGCTATAATAATGAATATGCTGATACTGAAATCTCATCGCCCCTTTATAAAAATAATTGCAAACAACACAGAACAATAAATATTTATAATATTTTGTAAATAAGTGTAATACAATGTCTAAAATTATTTTATAGGAACACAAATTACATTAAGAGATTAAAATGTTTTGGAATTTAATAATATAATTTTTTATAAGAATTATATAGATGCTACATTATGATAACACATAAACACATAAATTCTTGCTCAACTTGTATTCAAATATTCATTTGCTTACTAATTGGTGTCAGCAATAATATAAAACACTGCATACACTGACTCTGCAAACATCCATACAGAGTGCCCATTTAAAGTTCTAAGACAATCAAATAACTTTTTCTCTAAGGCAGGGCACAGTTCTGGAAATTAGATACTGGTACAGTAAACTAACTCAAGTATTAATTCATGAAACTGAAAACACTTTTTTTAATAGGCGAATATGAAAATTAGCACTGCTTTCTCAGAAATTATGAGACACATAAGGAGAAAAAAAAGATATATAACTGACAAACAAAATTTATCACTGATTAGCAAGAAGCAACATTTTAAGAAACGAATGGTGTAAACAAAAGTTGTACGAGTCGAGTCGACTGTTAAAAATATAATTTAATGCACAATTATTTACCTTACTTTCAGTTTAACGTTGGTCAGAACATTCAAAATATAAAAGCAATTGGCAGACAGTTTTCCTACGTTCATTCAAAACACTATACTCTTGCCATATCCTTCATAGCCTAGTGCTACTTTTAGATAACATTCATTACAAGAATGCCGGATAGTTGATGATCTGTAATGTACTTTTTAGTTGATTCAGTTTTATCTTCAAGAGTGATGTCAAACTGCAGCTATAATATTTGCATATGCAAGCGATAAAAGTCATGATTATAAAAGCAAAATGCTCTCAGCTTTCTATTTCCATTATTCATTTCAGTAAAATGCCAGCTTTTAATTTGATGATAATGCTGTACAACTTTTAAATTTGAATTATATTGAGTTTCTTCCGATTTTTGAAACAATGATATTAATTTCAAATACTCCTCCCACTATTGCCATTTTCGTTTTGTACTGTTTGGTAATTTGATTACGCAAATGCCTTGCTTTGATAAACCTATATAACTTTGAATAATAACACAACATAAATAATTATTGAGTTCACTTATACAACTTTGGATGGTTAATTGGATTAGGATATAGCTTTGGATAGTTGCAGTTATCTCTATTCTGAAATATTTGCACTTTAATGAACATCTTGTGTATAAGTATTATATAAATGAGTGTGTAAATATGAGGGAAGGTAAAAATTGTCTACACTTTTGACATAACTTTTCTTGCATGTGCACACAGATTTCTGTCCTTGCTTATTATATTATACTAGTGTGGTGATGCTCTGAAAGATGGATCCTAATCTCAACAATTTCCTTCTTCCTGTTGCAAATAAATCATGGCCATTCTATTAGAAGTTTGCACCAAAGATAAATAACGAACAGTGACTCCATCCTCTGGTCGGCAGGTGCTAAAGGTTCAGAAATTCATCATAGACTATCATCGCAATATTGAAGAAATGCACTATCATGTAAAACAGTGCCTTTGTAGATTGAGAAGTTTAAAAGTGGCCAAACAAAGCATAATGCATGAAGAGGGAGCAAGACAGCCATGTATTTCCGCTACATATTGAAAAACATGCGGCAAGCTTGAGAGATAGTTCCAGCAAATAGGCGAATTACTATCAGTATTATAGTGAGATAGTATCTCCTTTGAACATCAATCATCTGCATCCATGATGAGCTCAGCTTTCATAAAGTCTGCACAAACTGGGTCCCGCAGAACACAAGCTTACTTGTGTTAGGGTCTGTTAACTCTAACTCAATCGTTTCAACAATGAAAGTGATGCATTTTGAGCAATGAAACATGGGTTTATCAATATAGGCCAGAATCAAAATACGGAATATGGAGTAGAAATACACAGGATCTCCAATGCAGAAAAAATTCAAGACTGGCCCATAGGCAGGAAAGGTTACGTTATTTGTTTTTTGATACACTAATGAGAGAGTTCAAGATAGTTCTGGCGAATAGGTGAATTACTATCAGTGAGATAGTATCTCCTTTGAACATCAATCTTCTGCATCCATGATGAGCTCAGATTTCGTAAAGTGTGCACAAACTGGGTGTTACAGAACACAAGCTTACTTACATTAGGGTCTGTTAACACTAACTCGATCATTTCAACAATGAAAGTGACGCATTTTGAGCAATGAAACATGGGTTTATCCCTATAGGCCAGAATCAAAATGCAGACTATGGAGTAGAAACACCCATGATCTCCAACGAAGAAAAAATCCAAGACTGGCCCAGAGGCAGAAAAGGTTATGTTATCTGTTTTTTGATACACAAAAGGGCACTAATGAGAGAGTTCATGGAACATGAACTATACTTAATTTAATAATTTCTATTATTGTAACTATGATTTTTTACTTTCATAACTATAATTTTTGTGCAAGTTACACAGAAATGTTGAAAAAGAAGTTGAAGCAAGCAATTTGCAACATTGAGGTCTGCTGTCAAAGAAAATGTTGTTGTTGTATGACAATGCATGGTTACACATGGCTTGTCACATTATTGAAAACATCAATAAGATAAAATATGAGTTATTGGAAGACCTCCCTACAGTCCAGACTCTATCTGACCTTAACTTGCTTGAACCGCTCAAGGATACTTTACGAGGTCGCCAATTTACCTGACTTAAGACGTGAAAAATGCAGCGCAAAAGAGCTTTCGTGACCAACTGAAAATGTTTTATTTCAAGGAATACATAAGCTTATTGAACATTGGGCAAAGTATATAGAAACATTATGTGCAAAGTGAAACCCTAGCTTCATGTAAATAAATTGTAGAATGAAAAATATGGATAGTTTTTTGACTTACATATATACATAATGAATAAGCTTATCCAAATAGTAGCTTTTTAATATTAAAGAGTGATCTGATTTTAGTAAAATAAATTTGAATTATATAATTTACAAATTATTCTCATCTGCTGTTTCAAATAAACTGACGTTACATTTTTTGGCAAAATTATTTAATATAGCATTAAAAAATTGAGATGTTTAATAAATTTCTTGATGTTATAGCCTTAAAACTGCATATACTACATACACTTTAATAATTTTTTGGACATTTTAGAATTTTTTTAATATTCTTTAATTATTAATTTAAATGCATGTATATAAACTACAGAATATATTTTTTTTCCATATGAGAAAGAAGGTTAATTAGTTACTTGTGCCATGATTTGTAGTTTCTTTACAGTATCTTTGAGATTAGTTATCTGTTTTTCATACCCATCAACAGTAGACTGCAAAGATGTACGTAGTTCTCTTTCGATTCTTAGATCTGACTCCAAGCCTGACCTAAAATTTTAAAGCATGCTTTTAAATTCTTTCATGCATTAATAAGAAAAATAATGGATTGAATTTGTTTTCACAAAAGATATATAACATTTAAATACCATGGGCAAAGATTTAATACATTTTTTCCATATTTAAATACTGATCAAAAGATATTATATAAAAAGGTAGATTCGATGGGGGGGGGGGGAAACTGAACAAGAACACTTTAAAATAAGCTAGTTGATGATTTTTGAACTTTTATTTAAACATTATGGTCATCCAAGAATTCTCCAAAACAATTTTTTTCCCTCACATTTCCACAAATACCTGAGCCAAAAGAAGTACCCATCGATCAAATAAGTCGGTTTTCTAAAAGCTAGATTTTACAAAATGTTGATGCAACAACATAAAATGTTAAAAATATTTTGCAACTAATTTCTCTTAAAAGTGTTTGGAATTAATTCTCTTATAATCAAAAAAAAAAAAAAAAAAAAAAAAAAAAAAAAAAAAAAAAAAAAAAAAAAAAAAAAAAAAAAAGAATAACTATTACATTTACAGACCTTTACACATTAATTTAAAAAATTCTCAATGAAAGATCATGATAAATTTGCATAAGCAAGTGATTAATTGTGAAGCAATTTGCATACTGATTAATGAAGGTTATCTGCCACACCTCTGGTCTCAGGTTTAATTATGAAAAAGTTATATAAATTTAAGAAAAATAAAACAAGAGTCTCAGTCACCCAGAGTATTTTTGATCAAAGTTAGAATCTTTTTGATCACGCAGGCCCAAAAGCTTGGTTAAGATGAGCAGACTTAGTGGTTTGGTTGTTACATATCATGACACACATATAAGCAATAATAACAAATATAAATTTTGATCAGTTTTAGCACATGTTAATTCTGAAAAGAAACAAAACCATGACCCATGAGAAATTATACATAACTATGCTTTCCTAAGCTGGATAAAAATGTGGGATAAACTGTTACTTCAATGTATGAAAACATAGGAATTATATTAATCAGTTTCTAATTATCTTTTTCATTCTCAAGATAGTTTACTAAATTTGCAATTAATTTCAAATTTTCAATTCAGTACTTTTATGCAATTACTGACTAGCAATGCTTACTCTTAACATAGCTATTAACAATAGTAACCGTTTTTGGTACTTTTCTGCCCAACCCTTCCCGCAAAGATGCTAATCATTAGCAACTAATTTTTGCCAATCTAACTCATGAAAAACAGTAGACATTTAAAAAATGTTGGCATGCTGAAAAACAGCAACAAACTAAAAAAAATTAAAAACGTACAAAGCATCCATAACACAACACAGAATATTACATGACACAACAAAAACTCAACTAAATTAAGAAAGCAACATAATAAAACACTTAACTTCCTCCCCAGATTTCTGCTCATGTGCACAGCAATCTGTTTTAACTGAAAAAAAAACATTAGAGAATTGATGAATTCTCCATATCACAGAGCAACCTGACAACTGCTCTGCCTGTACACACTGACCTGTTTTAACTCCCCCCCCCTGAAAAAAACAGAATTGCAAAATTCTTGGCATTATTGAGCAACTTGGCACTGTTCTCTAAGCACACATCAACCTTTCTTAACTTAAAAAGTCATCCAAGAATTACACAAATTAACTTAATAGAATGAAAATTCCTGCATTCTACTACTAGCCAACATACCATATTTCTGGAAAAGATGCAATACTTTCTTTTTCATTAATAGGAATAGAGGCATTATGATTCATTACCCATCCCGGGGGGAAAACTACACACATAAGCTGAAACCATAAACATAACCCTTAAATTCCCAAACTGCTCACATTACATGCTTGCATAATGTGCATGCAATCATTAGTGGGCTGCCAGATAATACATTTTCATAAAATTCTGGGTTGCCTACTTTAGTGAAGTAACATTTTCTGTGGTGATTTTTGTCATGGCTGGGAGGATAATTCGAGTGAACCTAGTTTCTTTTTCTTCCTTTCTTCTTTTTTTTTAAGTCTGCTATCATACATTTATTTGTTTTGAACAAACAATTGTTTCAAACAATTTTACTACCCGCTTCACCACTGAAAGAAAGACGCATGATTTTTTCCTTTCTTTTGGCAAAAAAAAAAAAAAAAAAAAAAAAAAAAAAAAAAAAAGTTGTTTGTTTTCAACAACCGATCTGCTATCAGTATCGAATTTCCCATCATCAACCAATATTTATAATGTAGAATTAATTTCCTATTTACATAATAATTTGAGTGATCCATGGTGACTGGCTGTTTTATATTGTGACAAAGTAGAAAAATTGAGTTATTCATAAGCAATAGTTCTTCCCAAATGTTTTGAATGTGTGATGCAAATTTAATAAACTTGCAATGTTTTTAAAAATGCAGATATTTATGCATATCAGGAAGATCGAACTTCAGTACACTTTATTCCAATTTTTTGTCTACGCTTTTAAAATAAATATTATACATGTAAATTATTCATTATTTGCTAAAGATAAAACTAAACCAATTATAATATTTGCTGAGATAATGGAAATTTTATTTAAAGAATATTAAGCAAGTAAATAATAGGTTCAAATAATATAAAATGTGAGAAACAACAAAAGACTTTGGTAGAAAATATCTATTTATAGCAATATTCTAGACATACATTAAACTAAATATTTTTGCTTTGTATTAAAAGATTAAAAATATTGTGGAAGAAATAAAAGTTAATTCATTTCCTTATAAAATCAATTTTGTTCTTATGAAGAAAAATATTTATACTGATTTCCTCAGATTTCCTTCTATGAAAATATTAAGATTGTATACAGTAAATTCCTCACTCTTTTTCTTTTTTTTTTTTTCAATTACTAAATTCACTTGCATAATTTCACCTTTGAAAACCATAAGCGGGAAATTATGTAGTATATGTCAGTTCTGAGAGAAGGAATTCAAGAAGAAGAATTTATACTTACAGTACCTATTTTTTAGATGAATTTTCATTATAAGCTTCTTAATTTACATCTGATGATATCCATTAACAATAAAAGATCTACAACAATAACCTTTATAAGAATCTAAGAAAGTATAAAATTACACAGCTTATTTTGATGCCAGGTGATACTGAAAGCTGCAATAAATGTGCCTTTTCTGAGATTAAAAAAGAGTATTCATAACAAGTATAATTTTGTGATTTTATTAACATCAAGTCTCAATAGATTAGACTTGATGTTAGATTACAAGGCCTTTATAATCTATGTCCATTTTCTTCTTTCATAATCTTCAAGGAAGAGAAGGATGCATAGCACTGGCCAAGATGTTTGAATGCACGTGAAAAGAATAGCAATTTAAGAAATTCTACAAGCTTGGTCATTATTGTGCAGAAGCTTATACCTTGAATTTTAACAGTAAGGAGAAAATTATGTGAATAAATCTGAAGTCTTTAAATAATATTCTAAAACTGCTAGAGGAAGAATTTTGCAATGGAGAGAAATATGAGAATAAATATTACATTAATTGTTATTTATTTTTAAGGAGTTACATGCAGTTATTAGTTGAAGTATTAAAACACAAACATAAATATATTTGCGTGTGTGTAAGAGTTGAATTAAAATCACATACTAATAAAAATGGGAAAAAGCATAAATCTTCTTGTCAGGTAATACTCAAATATATTTTAATCTGTGTTGAATGCAAAGCTCCTTAAATTCAGACTGATATGCAAACCTATTATTATTCTAATTACTGAGATATAACTATTTATTTGAAAAAAGAAAATATAAAGAAGAATGGGTGGAAAAATCTATAATATGGAAAACAATTTATCAACTTATACAAAATGCACAGTTATTTCTTAAACTGTACAACACTATAAATGACATGAACAAAATAATGACCATACAGTCAAAAGTCGTTAATTCGGACACCCATAATTCGGAATGATCTATAATCCGGACCTCAAAACTAAAAACTTTCTGCGCATGCGCCGCGTTGACACATGCGCATAGGCGTTCATGCATGCGCGTAAGACCTTTTACGACTGCGCATATGAGTGTGAGCAAGTGCAGAATATGTTTTCGCGTGCGCGTTTTATGTATAATGGATGTATAAGCTAAAATTATCTAATTATCTATTTCAGTTAATGTTGATGATTGCGTTGTTCCTTAATTTTCGAATTGTATCCGGCTTATTATTTTTTGACGGACTGTAAGAGCAATTTTATAAAAGTAAGCTTAAACTTTCGATTATATCAAATAGAATTTGCCATATATATTTGTTAATATGTAAAGGATCTAAAGCGAAAGTATGTTTTGAAATCCGAAATCTGTTTATCAATTTTTACGCTGCTCGGCGGGCACGTAATGAATTGAAAGTTGATCTGTCAGCACTATCCTTATCTTCAGTGCAGAGGTTTTTATTTTATTTGGCTTATAATTCCTTACCAACTGTAGTATTTCATCTCGATATGCTCCGTCTTTGATATGATTTAAAACAAGTTCCTCATCATTATAATTCGCTTCCGAAAGCGAAGAAAGTGACAGAGGTTATTGAAAACGAAAAAATTTCGATTGACAAATTAGTCTGTGTTCTCGACACAGCAATTATAGGACTTGAACAGCGGAACTTTGTAACTGAACAAGAAATTATGTCTGTTTAATAGAATTAAAGAGAAAGTATTATCACATGAAATGAAGCAAAACTTAAACAACTTACATTGAAAGAAATGTTTAATAAAGTAAACAAATAAATATTAAGCTTTTTTTTTGCAAATTTTGATACCTTTAGATCATAATTGTTCTTTATTTCATAAATTACGGTTTCATATTTTTAATTTTAGAATTTCTGCATGCCATCTTACGAGATTTAAACTGATGATGTATAATCCAGAAAAATCGATAATCCGGAATCGCGGAAGTCCCGACGAGTCCGGATTAACGACTTTTGACTGTACATGAAAAAACAGGGAAAAGTACAAATGCTGAAAGGTACATTTGAGCATGTTTTAAAAGATTAAAATGTAAGCTATATAAAGAGCCTTCTGATTAGTTATTAATAGAAAATCAAAAACTCTTCCTTTAAGTTCTAGATATATTTAAATTTATGAAACTTCTTTTGCCAAAATTATAGAAATAAATGTGGTGTTGGGGAGGGAAGGTTGAAAATGATCAGAAACAAAAATAAAGAGGTATTCATAATAGTTAGTAATTATTTGAGAAATTAAAGAAAGTCATATTTTAAAAACAAATATGTTTCAGTTTCAATGATAATTAAAATTAAATTAGAAGAAAACAAACAAACCCTCCTCCAAAAAATGTTTTTGGAAAATGAATGCATATTTATTATCCACCTCAACACATAGTATGTATTTTATTTTCATATATCCTCATCATGAATTTATAAATAAAACTGCTTTAAAACTAACTTCTGTTATAAAATTTTCATAATAATTTAAATATATTTGTAAATTTCAAAATAAGTCCTCTTTTTAAATTCCAAAGTTATAGTACTCTGTCATTTATATTTTCTTTCCCCACATATATCTTTGCAATTTTTCAGAACTGTGCTTAAATAAATAGAAGACTGTTTATATTAAAACCTAAAATAATTTAATAAGAAATGTACATGTACATTTACATTAATCTAGAAATTAATAATTCAGTATAATCTCATATTTATATATATTTTAAATCATTGTGAAGGCTTTTTTCCTCATTGAAAAGCAGAGTAAAGATTGTGTCCTGTTACAACTCATCGATTACTTTCCACACTTCTTAGAATCCCATTCCTTCCCTGAAATATCTTTCAAAATCCATTAAAAACAAATGCATACCTAATTTGATCTTTTTCGGCTAACTGAGCACCAAACTTCCTGACTAGCTCCTCATTTTTACTTTTGAGAATCACCAGATCATAACTCCTTAAAAAAGAAAGTTTAATTATTAAAATAAAATTTTGTGAAGGTATTAATAAATACTTATTCTCAATTATATCATTATTGGAAAAAAATAAATTACATGCAGACGTTTAAGTTTTGCTAATAATTTTAATTAGAATTTCTGTCTTTTATGCATGTTTATATATTAATTTGGGAGAAAAAATTAGTTTTCAGAATGCTAATTTGCATTTAAATATTACTCTAGTTTTTAAATTTATGTAATTACTTTTATATGTTATTTGGCATATTTGTATTAAACTATTTAATATAATTTTGTCATTTGAGCTTTCCTCTAGAAAAAAAATCTTCTACATTTCTCAAAGCTTCGAACTGTCTTGGATAAAGCACTAAATGCATTTGTGAATGTAAAATTAAATTTTAATTGCTACCAAATTCAAATACTTTTCATTTGTTTTTAAAAGAGAATATATTAAAATGAATGAATCAGTATAGTAAACTCGTACAAATACATCTTAAATAATGGTTTTTATAAAACATCCCAGGTTCTTTTAAATTAAAACTGCAGTGAAAAATACTTCTTAAGTTATGCTTCTTTAGCTTTTAACAACAATAAATAAATCACTAATTCAATTTTTTATGCATTTTTATTATGATTATGTAAGAGTTTTCCATACATCTACCACATTTATTTAAGAAAATATTCAATCTCTCTATTTGATTTAATCATGCTACACTTATTCATTCATTATAAAAAGTAAATTATATAAATGGGAAAACTGTTAGTAAACTTTAACTACCAAAAATTAGTAGACTTTTTTATTTTCATTTGTAAACATTACATACAAAAATAACAAATTCAAATTTTTGTATCCATAAGCATATATGAAAAGTGAAGGCGTTAGTGTGAAATATAAAATTAGATTTTAATACAGGAGCAAGATTTTATTACAAGCAAATAGTTTTTACAATGTAAATTCTCATAGTACATATACAAAAGTAATACAGAGCAATAATAAAATTTGAAGATGTATCATACAGTTTCTACAAATTGTGAAATTGCACAGAAAAAATACTTAGTCTCTAAATGAGCACCCATTTCAACAAGGCCAATAATATGACCATCAGAATATTCAAGCTTAAGCAAAATTTACTACAAAATATATATACGTTTTGAAAATGCACAATTGCATACAAACAGCTTATGCACATCAATGGCTTACGATCAATAATACAAAATCTTTCTTTTAGATTAGGATTAATTTGATAATAACAAAAATGATTAAAAAACAGTTTTCCCTCCTTTTCCATAAATTAAAAATAGGTTATAAGTACATACAAGATATTTTAGGTCATAACTTAAAGAAAACTTAACCAAAAATGCATAAAATATCTTAATTCTTGCAAAATATTAAAATAACTGCTAGATTGATTAAGAAATAATTAACATTAATACTGCTAATTTAACCTTTTCTATTCCCCCCTTTTTTTAATCGATCTTAGATATCTTAACTTTCTATCAAATCAAATTCTATAGTTTTTAAGATTTAAGGTTCCAGCAAGACTTTTTTTAAATAAATAATAATAATAAAAATAATTCACATATTTTATCAAGTTAATAATTATGATATTTAATTGTAGTTTATTTTTAAAGATATATATAACATACTGGAATAAATCTGCATAGAGGATATCTAATTCAGAAAATAGTTTCCCTGTATTTCATTTTTCCATACATTTATGTCAATACATTAATAAATAAAATTTTGGTGCCAATGCTTATGGTCTGATTACAGACTGAAAAAGGTGTCTGAATTATTTCAAACTAATAGCCAATGATATGGTAATAATATTTGCAAAAAGTCAAATGATTCTGTATCAAGATATATATATATATATATACATATTACATGGAATTAGAAAACATCTTTTATTAATTAACATAGTGTTGCAAATATATTCAAAATTATCAGCTGGATAGACGGTAAATTTTATGCACTTCAAATTACATATGTTAGATGTTCAAAAATAAAGTAAAAATAAAAATCATTAAGAGGTACTTTTACAGCTTAAATCACCCAGTTTGTCAAGCAGTTATATTTTGAAAAATAAATCAAATAAAGGTCACTAAACGAATATGTAAACCAACATTAAAAATCTTAAACTTTTGATGCCCATTTTGTGCATATTGTGCCATTATATAGATTAATCTATTATGTGCTTTTGTGCCAACAGATATTTTAATATGCAGTTAAAACACATCCACATAGTTATATGTATGGGGAATTAGCAATCATTTACTGCTAAAAATTAAAAATTTTAACAACATAAAGAGTTAAACAGCTTTTAAAGTTTGGATGCCCAAATATAATCAAAATGCAAATTAAGCTATAGTATAATTAACTTGTTCTTAAGCTCTGTTGTAAAAAGTTTATGAAAATATAAAATATTTAGTGTTTTTAGAAAAATTTAGTTCTTAAAAGTGATACTTTCAGATTTAATATAAAATTTTCTAAATATTTAAAAGATTTATTTTAATTTGAATAAACAAATAAGAGAGGGAGAAAGTTGAGAACCGTGATATATTTTGATTAATTAAAAAAAATCATAAAGATTCAGAACTGCACACACATACGCACACACGAAAAAAAAAAAAAAAAAAAAAAAAAAAAAGCAGCTTTGAAGCTGGGGAAGACTAGCATATGCCCTCACATATAAAAAAGGCATTTGATTAAAAATAAGATAAAACATGTCAAAATAGTCATAAAATATTCCATTCTTTATAATGTACATTACAGCAAATATTTTTAAATTAAACATTTATAAAAAAAAAAAAAAAAAAAAAAAAAAAAAAAAGATGAAATATATATTCAGAAAAATATTGCATATTTAAAGAATTTGGAAAGAAACTGGAAATTATAACAATGATCAAACATTTAAAAATGTAAAAGTAAGAGGAAAATGAAAGATTATCAGACTTTCATCATGTTACCACAATTTAAAATTAATTTAATACAATATTTTTTAATTGGAAAAATACAACTGTTCTCTCCCCAAAAATTCAAATTGTTTGATAATTCCAATAGTGATAATTCAAATGTTTGATAAGTTAGATAATAATATGAATAATAATCAGTATAAAGCCAATCAACTCTGTTCATATTATAGAATTAAGTTGGAATAAAAATAGGTATGCACGTTTGTACTGAAAACACTTTTTTAATAATTTACAGTGTGAAAGCTTTCTTTATTAAATATAATTTTGTTCGCATGTACATCAATTTCGATTGCACTTATTCATTCAAATGTGTCTTTACTACCTGATGTGATTTCTTATTAATTTTAATCAAGTCAGAATAAATGAAAAAGTGTAAATAATTATCAATTTTTTTTATTATTCTGATGAACAACTGCCAAATTTTTTGTTGTATTTTTGCATTTCAAAAGCTCTATACAGAATACTTAAAATTTCAGTTTTTCTTTAGGATCACAGTTATTATGTTGCCACAAATGCAGAAAAGGTTCTCAAACTTTATTTTAGATTCCTTTATCAAAAAAAGTTTTTACTAACTTAGATTCCTTTTCAAAAAAGTTTAATGCTCATATAGACATTCACAAATTTGTAACTTTGACTAATTGTTTGAATCCAAACTGACCTTTTCTCTTTTGCTAGATAGTAATTATCTAATAACTTAAAAAATTCTCAGATTAAATGTTATAACAGCTGACAATATAAAAACTTCAGATGAATGTATCAAATAGAAATAGTTTCAACATATAAAACCACAATTAGCTCTCAAAAGGAATGAAAGCTTACAATACAGCACAGTCTTCATTTCATAACTCAGTTTCAGGCACACAGGCAGAAAGCAAGCAAATTCAAGTATTTAACAGCAACTTAAATTAATTAAGCAAAACTCAAAAAACAAAATAAAAACCATAATATATATATATATTATGTTTTTAAAATTGTACTTACATTTTTTCAGGCAATATTTAATAATTTTTAACTAACTGTTTATCACATAGCAAAGGAAATTGTGGGCTGGCTATTATGATTTTCTTTAGAATTATATCAGTATTAAAAATTACACTAATGTAAGTTATATATATTATACCTTTCTTTTATGCTTTCTAATTGAACAGTTTCTCTATCACTGTAATAATGCAGACCCTTTCAATATATTATACAACAAATAAGGACAATATAAGGCCAAACACCATTCAGTTACTAGCAGGAATTTTCCTACCAATATTCTGGGCAATTCAAATACTATCATACTTCCTCATGCAGTAAAAAAATGCTTTATTTACATAGTTTTATCTCACTTCATAAAACCATTTTCAACCCACCACTGCCAAAACAGAATAGACAGAGAGAGTAAAAAACATAAAATTAATCTAGCCTCTAAGAAAAACATTATTCTGACAATGTCATAATAAAGTCTTTTGGGGCTCATTTCCAAGACTAGACTGCGCTTGACATAAAACTTCGTACTTATCCTCCAGCTCATGAAGAGATTTGTTCAGTTCAACAACTTTTGCTTCCAATTCAGAGGCATATTCAGATTTTGTCTTTAGAGCTTTCTCACATTCCTAAAATAAAAACCATGATAAAAGATACATGAGAAAAAAAGAGCACACACCTAAAATAAAGCAAAATTAAATCTCAATTGGATGCTGGTTTTATGGAAAATTTTTATATGTTTAGAAAACATTTGCATCAGTTCTCTTTCCCTTGAAGAGCAAAAATATTCTGGTTAGCACATTTAATGTTATATGCTTGCAATATTTAAAATTCAATGAGTTTGTTAATATATCTCAATTTTGTTTACATTAAAATAATTATTTTTATTAAAAGTAAATTGCTACTACCATCTGACATATGGCTGCTTAAAAATGAAATATACTTATGAAATAGGCAAAGTACAACAGTCATTATAACATTGAAGAAATAATTAATTTGCCTAGTCTTCAAAATAACTGACAAAAAATCTGATGTGTATACCACATGACTTCCTTGAACGGAATATTAAATTACATGCAATTTTCCTCCATTTCATTTAAACATATTGAATTAACAGTTAATGAAATTTAAATTAAATCTACTTCATCAATAGTGCATAAATCACAATAGAATAAATACACTCTTTAAAATTCACTATATTTATTTATCATAGCGACACTTCGGCACTACATTTACTTAACAGCATTAACATTCATTTTATAACTAAGAGTGCACAAAAATTATATATTCTGAAGAATTACAAGTTCTATACAAAATACTATAATAAATTTAAAACAATGTATAAAAGAAATTAAACAAATAAAAAAAAGAAACAGTTTTTCGCAGACAGTTCAGCGCCGCTTATCTAATGCGCATGCTCTACTAATTAATTCGGTTCTCACTTTGCGAAAAGGCAAAAATATATAAAAATTCAAAATATTTTTATTAAAAACACAAAACGCCAAGTACAGTTAAAACAATTTTTTAAAAAAATTTACAAGTCAAATTAGTGTTTCTACACAAAAACAAGCTAATAACCTAAATGATAATTCCAGAATGAATTAAGCATAATTTAACTGGAAATAATAAAAGAAGATGTTACTTTGTTGTTAGGAAGCTTAGACACTTCTTACAGATTACAATAACGTTTGTTCACTCAAGACTTAACATATAGCTTAGCGATGTGCCTTTAGAATACTTCTAATAGTCATTCAAAAACACTTGAAATTATTTTATTTTCCTTAATTTTATCTATCATTTAGGCCCATTAGCCCATAGCCTTCTAAGCGAGCCTTCGTGGTGTAGTGGTCTGCACACTCAGCGCATAATTGAGAGGTCTGCAGTTTGATTCCCGGCGAAGGCGTTGCATGGCAACAAATTCACTATTTTGCTTAGTTTCAAATGTAAAAAAACATGGTTGCTATGGTAATCAGAAATTAGGCTTAGCCGCACATAAAAAAACTTTTAAATTGCTGATAATTCCACAATTACTGCATGCAGGTTAACTAAAGGCATAAAAATCTTAACCAGAACATAATTCAATCATTTTTAAAGCAAAAAAATGCACAATTTACAAACATATAAGAATAAAGAAACTGAGCCAAGTAATATTTATATATTTTTTGTGCAGCAGATTGCAACCAAAATGGGATGCACCCATGTACATGTTATAGTAGTCCTATGTACAAAATTTCAACGTTCTGAGGCTACTCGTTTTTTGAGTTATGTGAGATATATACGTACAGATGCCATGAAAAAAATCTCTTTAGAATTCATTTAAAATCAGTTTTATAATTTTTTTTTTGGGAAAAAAGTCCTTTACTCTGTCCTTACGTACAGATGTCATGCAAAAACATCATTAAATTGCATACGATAGCGGTCAAAATTAATATTTTCGTTGAAATGTGATACCCGAAATTTTTCGTGATTACAATACTTTCTTTTCACTTTGAAGAAGAAAAAAAAAAAAAAAAAAAAAAAAAAAAAAAAAAAAAAAAAAAAAAAAAAAAAAAAAATAACCGTGAAGCAAGAGAACATTTAAACATGCTATGGCAGCATAATAAAACTCTAAAATCCAGAATAACTGAGACTGCAGACCACTGGGGTATATGAAATTTTTTTAAAAATTTGCAACTTTGACTGTAAAATATGTATTTAATGCACAGTGAGAGATGGGATTTTATTTATATTTTCATGTATAAAAATAAAATATTTGGTTGTAACGAAAGTTTCTCACCAAAAAAGTTCTTAATAAAGTTAGGGGGAAAAAACATGAATGCAGTACCTTTAGTGCAGGTAGTACCACCCAAATCCATGATTTTCTGCCAATGCTTTGGTAGTTTTCCAAAGCCTTTCACCCAGAAACTTGGTGGCCGTGAGTCCAAAAACAGATCAACCTCATTTCGTACGTTCTGTGCAGAATGGAAGACAGCACCAGAAAAATGTAGCTACAGGTGTAGAAAAGGGTAGAAGTCTGAAGGAGCATTGGTGTGGCAAAAGATTCCATTCAAGTGCATACAGAGTCAGACTTGTGAATGCAGAAACATGTGGTCTTGTATTATCTTGATGGAACATCACTTTTTTGTGCCGGAATTAAGTTCAATGTTTTTCTTTAATAGCATCATTAACATGGACTAGCATCTCATTGCACACCTTACTATCAAGGGTTTTACCTTTTTCCAGATACTCTCTGTGGATAATACCATGGCAATCCCACCAGATATAAAACATAATCTTAGTCAAATGGTGCTTTGCGAGGGTGCCGACAGGCTCACCTGGTGCAGAGCAAATCACTTTTCGGCCTGTGTTGTTTAATTAAATCTACTTTTCATCACAAATGACAATCCAGTCCAGAATTTTGTCTTTGTGTTGATAATTGCAGATAAGTTGCAGGGCCAAACACATCTATCCTTATCTGCTTGAGTCAGCTCATGCGGCACCCAGTGATTGAATTTGTACATCAAGTTTATGCATGGATAGCATGACTAATGGACATGGCACTAATGTCTAACTATTTAACAAGCTCTCGAATGTCTGCATACTGATCTTCTTCCACAAGTTCTCACAAGTAGGCCAGAGCACTCTGCTTCTTGAATGTCATAGTTCTTGTTTTTGAATTTTTGGTACCAAACCTTCACAGTGTCATATGATACAGCTTTAGGTACTAAAGTTGTATATATGATTTGGTGACATTCTGTAGCTGATGTTTTGAAACAGAACTGGAAGTAAATAATGGTTCTAATCAGGTAGCATGATAGTTCCATTTCAGACACCTTGTACTTAATGATAATGATATTTTCTTTAAAGTTTTACAATAGAGTGTTCTAAAGCAAGTCCCTTTCTTTCAAATGCCAAAAATTGTTTGACAAAATATAATTAACCATGGCAACATGAACTGTTTGCGCAGACAATATTTGCAGTGGTGGAAACTTTCGTTAAAACCCGATATATATGTACTGGAAAAAAAGAGCAAGGTATTTGAATAAATGGAAATAAACAGTGCTACTGGTATTGCAATGAAGTTTTTTTGAATATAAATTAATCACATTCATTAAATCTTTGACAGTATGCTAAGTAATATTAGTTACTATTTTTCTAAAACATAAATTGATAAAAAATGTTTAATTATGTATATTCTAAATTTTTTCCCTAATGAATTATAACATGTTTAATAATTTATAAGCAAGGAAAAATTATAATTTCTATATAATGCATGAAAATCATTTATACTGCATTATACTAGTAATAAACCACTGTTAAAACCTTCAGCATGCCAAATTGTCAAATGTTTACTGGGTTCTCATTTTATACATTTTATTTATTACTCATAATTAATATTCCATTTTGAATAATGATAATAAATGACTCAAAAATCTTCAATCAAGTATCTGTTTAATCTTTATCTTTATTCCTTTACATATCTGTAATATGAAATTATGCTCTTTGATTTGTTATCTTCTTAATTTAAAGTTATCACACTCTTAAAAGGAAATATGTATTTTGAATAAATTAAAAAAAATCAAAATGCACTGTAAGCCAAAAGAATACCTATTATTTCCCTTCAGTGTAATTTAAAATATGATGAATCAGAAGAAGAATTAAATAGTACCTATTACATGGATTTGGATTATATTAATATGCATCTGATTTCCCTCCTTAAAATTTACCTGTAACTTGTTATAAAGTTGCAGATTTATAGCTTTAATATCCTCTAGTTGTCTTCTCATTGACAGAATGGTGTCCTGTTTTTCATGTATATCTTTCTCCAGAAGTTTCATGGCTACTTCTGCTTCATCTCTCAAAGTCCTTTGTAGTTCACATTCAACTTCTAGCTCCTGTAGAGAAGTTAGCATTGGATCATTCCATGTAAAACCAACCTGAAAATAAGTAAACTTTTACCTCAGCAGCTGAGGTGTAAATGAAAATATTTGTAAATTTTGTAAATCATAGATTTTATACTGGGGAAGTTACAAGTCACATTTTGATTACATTCAGTGATGTATTTTAATATATATATCACCTCTAAATAAAACATACATAAGGAACTGGTACAATAATAAGCATCACTATAATGAATGATGCAATAGGGAAGCAACTAACTAATAGATACATGCAATACACAAGAGGTTTTTAGTTTTGAATAACAAATTTAGATAATTGTTATTATAATGCACTACATATTAATGAATGGTTGTCATTATGATGTGCTAAGTATGTGCATTAAGTAGATTTCATCAACAATTAATATTTATAAGTCCATGAAAAGCAAAAATTTTTTTAAAAAAATATTATACTCTAGAATCATATTAAAAAAAAAAGCCACAATAAATGAAATTGTTTACTGTAATTGTACTCAAACATATTTTGTCAGGAAATTTAAAGTATTTTATGGAAAAGATAATTTACTGATTTTAATATAGTATTTTAAAATACATCAAAGAATATCTTTCCTTTTAATTTGGAAGCTATTGAATAAGAGATAAATTATTTTTAATATATTGTTTCCTGTGTTCTATTGCATCAAGAGCACTACAGCAATTTTTAGAAAATATAGATATTAAAATGTTACAGTTAACAATGCAAACTTGATCATTTAATTTTGGTCAAATACTTTAATTATACATATAATTCCTCATGCATTAATTCTACAAATGTTTATTAGCGATGATCATTGTCAAATTTTAACTGCTAAAATTTTTAAGAAAAATTATATTTTTAACAATGATAAATTATAAGTATAGATCAGGGCTGGGCAAACTTTTTCAGTCGCGAGCCAAAAAGCGAAAAAAAATGTTTGGCGGGCCAAGATAATTTTTTTCTAAAATTTTAAAAACCATATACAAGTATTACATTTTATATATGTTAATGAGATGAATGAAATTGCGATTTAATTTTTAAAAGTTCCTTATATTGAGGTTCGAAGTGAGTTGTACTCATTCTAAAGAATGAGCCTAAATACTCATCTGTTAGTCTACTTCTGAAATAATTCCTTCTAAGGTTTCTAAGGTATTCTTTCTAAGATATTAAATTTAGGAAACTTACTTTCGACAATGATTTGTAAAATTCTAACTTTGGTATATTTAGAAACAACTGCTTGAGATGATTGTTAGATTGCAACTCAATTAATTCAAGATGCAAATCTGACCTCACTTTACGTTGAAAAGTATAGTAAAAATATCCAATTCTGTTTGAATGGCTTGAAATCTTGAAATCTGCGTTTGAACTCAAAATCCAGTTTTTTCAAGCCATCTTCATAATTCTTAAGCTTTTCCTCATTTACTGAGGATATTGAATTTAACATCGGGAAATGAGACAATTCGTTCTTAGCTAGCTGCCCATAAAACAGATTAAGTTTTAATTTAAAAGCTTTGAGATGGGCCCAGATATTGTCGATAAATTGATTTTTCCCTTGCATCTTGGCATTCAAGTTGCTCATATGACAAAGAAGATCTGTAAAAAATGCTGTCTGAAAGTCTTCTGTATCATCTAACATTTCACACTCTGCAGAACACTGTATCTCATGGAAGAATGATGAAATGTTCTCTTTGAACTGCCAAATTTGCTCGAAAACACATCCTGCTCTAAGCCACCTTATTTTCATGTAAAACAGTACATCGTATGGAGCAAAATTTAAACTGGCCAATCTTTGACTCTAATTGTGATGTCAAATTTTTATCGATGTCTTTGATTCTAGAAGTCACCGTTTTTCGAGATAAGCTTATTGTCTCAAAATTATTTTTCTTGTCTGGACGTAAAACATCACTAACTTGGAATGTACATAATTTAACAAACTCCCCATCACTGAAAGCTTTATTATTTTTTAGCAATATTGTATGCTACAATGTAAGTTGCATGTGTAGCTGCTTCTTGGATACTGTTTACCTTCTTGAAAAAATTTTGTTGGGCTGCTAATTTTTTACAAAAGTGTTTTGCTGTTTGTTCTCTTTCATATTCGGACATTGCTTTGTTATTGGAATTCTTATGCTTAGATGTGAAATGACGGGAAATGTTATATTCTTTGAAGACTGCTACAGCTTCACTGCAGATGGGACACACTGGTTTATCTTTTACAACTGTAAAAAAAAATACTTCCAGGTCCATTCATCATGTAAAGCACTGCACTCTGAATCAACTTTGTGTTTTTTAGTAGCCATTTCAGGGTAGAAATGTTTTACGAATAACCCAAACAAACACTAGCTACGCTTTATTAATTTTACAACTATTCACAATGATGCTATATGTCCGCAATTTTTCCATACACAATCAATAATATAAGAACTTTCGCCAAAAGAAAAAGCCGCTGGCTGGAGCTTAAAATGCGAAGTCTGGCACATGTGAGGTCTAATTCACCTATACTGGATTTCCCTATGTCTGCTCCATGAGAAAGAGATAACGCTTGTTCGTGCCATTCTACAGCTATAACTAACAAAGAACTTCCGCTTTTAACACTTTACCAATTGAAAGCTGCCTGTGCTTGCTACTTCCATCAATTTATGTTTTGTAGAACAAAAATAGAGAAAGTAAAAAGATCATCAGTCTTTTGAAAAAAAAGGGAAGACAAATAATAATATTTAAACAAAGTAGAAAATAAGATGGATATACACAGGGTTCGTACACATTTTGGCACACGAAAATTAAGTACTTTTAAGGACTTTTAAGGACCCTTAATGAAAAAAATTAAGGACCTATGAGCAAATGAGAATTGAATAAATTCAATTGAAAATATTATTCTATGCCTAAATTTAACTTTTGTAATACCATTCTAAAAATAAAATAGATCCCTTAGGATCCCTAGGATTATTTAAAAAGAACTTAGAACATAAAGGCATGTTCTGATGCTAACAAAATCAATTACAGCTCACGGTGACGTCAAATTCAAATTAAAAATGTGGAGTAGTGGTCAAAGATTATACAATTTAATTAAAATTTAATCTGGCTCAGTAACTCTATCAAATGAGGAAATAGAAATGGGAAATTATAGTAAAGGCTTAAACAATTAGGTAATTTACATAATAATAATAGCTGCACATATCTTTGAAGAATAATTTTCTTTATGTATTCAGTTTCTTTCTTCAGCATGTCAGCATTTCCTTTTCATTTTGGAATTTCTGGATTTAATTAAGGATTCTGTTATTCTAAAAAACACTAAATGCATTTAGAATGTATAGAAAAAGTGGCTAATTCTATTTCTTTAGTAATATGAACATTTATATGAAATATATATGATAAAGGCCAGTTACAGAGCTGATGTGGCAGAATTTTTAGAATTTAGTGACAGACCGAACAACAAAATCTAGAAATGGCAAAACTTTTAGAATTTAGAGCAGGCATTGGAAGCAGAATTAGGAAGGCACTAGGCAACAGAATTTAGAATCCACAGAGATTGCATCAGGTGGAAAAATGCCTAGTGCCAGCTATGTGTGCGATACATTAAGACATATTAGATGAATCTTTTAAATTGTGAGTTTTCAATTTCTTTATTAATAAAAAAAAAATCTCTTTCTATAATGCCTGCCCATGTGATAAGATTAGAATCATTTTTTGATATTTTCCACATTTGAGTCTAATGAAAAGTACAGAAAATAAAGGGAAGAGAAACATGTTAAAAGATTCTAGTATCATAAGTAAAAACATTCAAATATTATGTTTTTCATTGTTTTTCAGACGTTCTCCAAAAAGTAAAAAAATTATTGCAAACTTTCTGTAAAATATATCCATTACGTGTTGATACCATAGAGACATTTTTCATTTTGTCACATATTTCCCGAATCGTGGGTCTATAAATCTTGCCTTCAACTCCTTCAAATCCTAAAGAAAAATTAGCCCTACCAATTCTGTAACAGCAAAAAGCCAGAAATATTTTTGAAAAAAAAAGGAGGAGGGAAAAGTGTAAAATTAATTTTATATAGCATATTCTGAGAATTTTGAATATTCTGAGACAATTACATGGGGAAAAACTCTTACTATGAAAAAATTAAAAAGAAAACATTTTTAATTATTTACATAGCTAATTTTGCTTTTGCTAAGAGATGTTTCGTAAATTCTACTTTAGAGCATAATACCTTGTTTATTTTTCAGATTCAAAATAGTGAATAATAAGTTGCCAAAATGAAACTTTATAATATGACAGTGAAAAAAAAAAAGTAATGTTATTTTTTAAATATAATTTTAATATAACACTATTATTTTAATGAAATTTATCAATGTTACGATGTTTTAAAAAAAAATCGTTGAAAAATTCTCAGATCTTGGAATTAAAATTCTACAGAAACTTATCTTAAAATCGCCAAAATATTGATAAGTCGCCAAATTTAGAAATGTTTAATAAAAGAATTCACATTCCCAAAAGCGAAATGTTGTTTAAAAGCTCTTTAATAGAAAAAATGAATTTCGAAATGCTTGTTCCACTCCTTGCTTAGAAACTCGAGTATTCCATCATTTACATCTGAAATAGAAACAAATTATAACCCATGAATCCATTCAAAAGATACATGTCAGTGAATCGCCCAAAATGTTCCTCCAAAATGCTAATTCACACTCAAAATGGCAGTCTTAAAACAGACAAAATTTCAAATAATTAAAATTAAGGACCTTCTGCTGAGTTTGGCCAAAATTAAGGACTTTTAAGAACCGAAAATCGGTTCCAAAAAATCTAAGGACTTTTAAGGACTCTTAAGGACCGTATGAACCCTGTATATAATATATATGTCTTTTAATTTGCTCCTGTATATAATATATATGTCTTTTAATTTGCCTCGGACCAGCAAATTAAAATTCTATCCATGCGGGCCGGATAGAACATTCCGGAGGGCTGTAGTTTGCCCATCCCTAGTATAGATACTGAATAATAAAAACAGTATAAAAAGTGTACTGCTCACAAAATTCATGTCTGACACAAGTTATTTCAATGAACATTACTAAAATACCTTATCAGGTTATTCAGTTTAAAATACCTTTATCAGGTTATTCAGTTTATATTAAAATATATGTCAATTATTTTATGACAAGCATAATCTAACTTAATAGATGTTGCTGGAATTTCAAGTACCCAATCAGCACGATGAGAGGATTTATGTGAACTACATGTGAAATTCTGTAGGATGCAATCCACATTTTCATCTGACATGTGGGGATGGCCAGGTGATTTCTTTTTACACAGACAACCCATGTCTTGGAACTGTTTATACTATCAACTAACACTCTGAGCAGTAGGTCGTTGAACACTAGTGTACTGTCGACAAAAATTATTCTGACTAGTTGTTATGGACTCATGTTTTGTGAAGTGTTGAACACAAAACAATTTCTGTTATGCAGTCACCATCTAGTCAAACACTAAAGTAGTGGTTTAAGGTAGAGAATTAATGCTATCATCACCAACTGCATAGAACTCGAGATTTTCCTTTTTCTACCTACACATTATTTGATCAAATCGGATGAAAAGCTGAATAGTTATGATTTTTTAAAATCAGATGATTCTTTTTTAAACCTTTTTAAATTAACAGTTGTAACTTTCTTTAAAAAATGGCTAATATAATAATTATACTTAGAATTCATATAGAGAATTGAGATGTACAAGCAGCAGCAAATTTAATCAAATATATGCACACTAACCCCCCCCCAAAAAAAACAAGTAAATTTCTATGATGATAATGTATTTCTTGGTATAAATAAATGATAAGTAATATAATAAAATATATATAATTTAATATAAATTAAAAAAGTTTCTAATATAGCTTTATAAATCTGCAAATACAGAACGTGCCTGCCTTTTGGAAATTTCCTCTTGAAGCTGATTTTTAATATCTGTATACATAGAATCAAGACCAACTTGAGTTGTCTGGTATGTTTCCCTCTCTGCAATCATATCTACTTTAACTTCCTAAATCATTCAGAAAAAGTGAATGCAGTTAAAATGCTTCAAAAATTCTTTTAAATACAAAACTTCATAATTTACAGAATGAATAAACACAAAACTTAAAATAAAATACTCTTAAAATGGTTAACAATCCTAAACTGTAATAAATTCACTTTATAAGATTTATAGAATTCAAATAATTCAGTTTTAAACTAAGAAATAATAATGATTATACAGTCAAAAGTCATTACTTCGGACACCCATAATCCGGAATGATCTATAATCCGGACCTCAAAGCTACAAACTTTCTGCGCAGACGCATGCGCGTAAGACCTTTACGGCTGCGAATATGCGTGTGTGTGTGTGCAAAATACTAAACGAATGCGCGTTTAATGTATAAAGGACGGTATAAGCTAAGCTAAAATTATCTAATTCAGTTAATGTTGCAGATTGCGTTGTTCTTTCATCTTCGAATTGGATACGGCTTATTATTTTTTGCAGACTGTTAGAGCAACTTTATAAAAGTAAGCTTGAACTTTCGATTATGTCAAATAGAATTTCTGATATATATTTACTAATATGTAAAGGATCTACAAAGTGAAAGTATGTTTCCATTAAACAAAAAGTGGAATTGCTGCAAAAAATGGATAAAGGCATATCCTTTGTTTATCTAAACTTTGTTTATCTTTAATGCCGCGGTCGGTGCGCAACGAATTGGAAGTTGATCTGTCAGCACTATCCTTATCTTCAGGGCAGATGTTTTTATTTTATTTGGCTTATAATTCTTTACTAAATGTAGTATTTCATATTGATGTACTCCATCTTTGATATGATTTAAATCAAATTCCTCATCATTATAATTCACTTCTGATAGCGAAGAAAGTGACGGAGGTCATTGAAAACAAAAAAATTTCGATTGACAAATTAGTCAGTATTCTCTACAAGGCAATTATAGGACTTGAACAGCGGAACTTTGTAACTGAAGAAGAAATTTTGTCTGTTTATTGAATTAAAGAGAAAGTAGTATTATCACATAAAAAACGAAGCAACTTAAAAAACTTACATTGAAAGAAATGTTTAATAAAGTAAACAAATAAATATAAAGCTTTTTGTAAATTTTGATACCCTTTAAATCATAATTGTTCTTTATTTCATAAATTATGGTTTCATATTTTTAATTTTATAATTTCTGCATGCCATCTTACGAGATTTAAACTGATGATCCATAATCCGGAATCGCCGAAGTCCCGACGAGTCCGGATTAACGACTTTTGACTGTGCTAAAAAACTAATTTATACTATATCAATTGATTTAAAATCATTCAAATATTAATTTAAACAAATAAAATAACAATTAAAACTGATTTTATATACGTTTTAAGGGTTTTTTACTCCCTATCATAACTAAAGTTTAATATGTTATAGATTAGTAGAGTTTCTATACTTTTCTCATTACATTTGTTTTCCCATGCCTCTAGCTCTTATTATTATTAATTATTAAGAGCATTTTTCACATGGCTCACATGAATACTAACTCCAAAAAATAAAAACAAAGACATACTACAGTCAAAAGTCGTTAATTTGGACACCCATAATCCGGACATCAAATCTACAAACTTTCTGCACATGTGCGTAAGACCTTTACGGCTGTGAATATGCGTGTGTTCATGCGCATAATACATTTACGCATGCGCGTTTAATTTATAACGGACGGTATAAGCTAAGCTAAAATTATCTAATTCAGTTAATGTTGCAGATTGCGTTGTTCCTTAATTTTCGAATTGGATCCGGGTTATTATTTTTTGCAGACTGTTAGAGCAATTTTATAAAAGTAAGCTTGAACTTTTGATTATGTCAAATAGAATTTCCGATATATATTTACTAAAGGATCTACAAAGCGAAAGTATGTTTCGAAGTCCGTTAAACAAATAGTGGAATTGCTGCAAAAAATGGATAAAGGCATATCCTTCATTTCTCTAACCATTCCGAAATCTGTTTATCAATTTCATGCTGCTCTGCGGCGGGGTGTGTGTGTGTGGGGGGGAACTCTGCGGCACATTATGTCTATTTATAGAATTAAAGAGAAAGTATTATCACATAAAACGAACCAACTTAAACAACTTACATTGAAAGAAATGTTTAATAAAGTAAACAAATAAATATTAAGCTTTTTCTTTTTTTTTTTTTTTTTTTTTTTGTAAATTTTGATACCCTTTAGATCATAATTGTTTTTTATTTCAGAAATTACGGTTTCATACTTTTAATTTTATAATTTCTGCATGCCATCTTACCAGATTTAAACTGATGATCTATAATCCAGAAAAATCGATAATCCGGAATCAGCGAAGTCCCGACAAGTCCGGATTAACAACTTTTGACTGTATAATAAATCTTAATTGGTTGTTAATGAAAATTGTTTCATAAAATGCAGAAACTTTGAAATATAAAAACATACTTCGAGTTTCTTTTTATTTTCTAATGTTAGTTGATCACACAGTTTACGAAGCTGAGCATTTTCATCTTGTAATGTTATTATTTGATTCTTTGATATAGCTAAATCTTCTTTCATCAAGGCATTAGTTGTCTGTAGTTGTTCTACTTTTTGTTGTAAATTTGTTACAGTAGCACTACAAATAGAAAACATTAATGTTGTTTTAAATATTTCAAAATACTAATGTTTTAAAAAGAGAGAAACTGAAAAAAAAAAAAAATAATAATTATAATAATTGAAAATTAAGCTATTACAACATGTACCTAAAATGCTAAACTTAAATATCCTTTTTGTCTTTTATAAAAATATATTTTCTATAGTAGTTCAAGCATAAATTAAAGTAGCACAAATCATTTTACAGAAAATTTCATTGAATTGATCTGAATTAATAATTTATTCAGTTATTCAATATATTATCTGGAATTTAATAATTTGTTAAATTGATTTAAAAAACCCACTTATGAGATACACTATTTATATCCACTTTTAGTATTGACAATGAAAAAAATTCAACTTTTAATTTATAGATTAACTTATTTAGTTATTTAATTCTAAATATAATGTAGATTAAAAGTTTGCAAATTAAGACCACTATCCACAAAAATGAATTTAGAACAGCATTTTAAAATTCTATTTTGTTTATGAATAATTACATAACTATAGTTTTACCTTTACAAATAATATTACTTATTATCCTCAGAGACTATAAAATGTCTTAAAGGTTTTATTTTCTGATCAATTTAACTAATTTTATTATAATTACAGTAGACACCATTTAATGTGATCATGTTTGTCCATGATCGTTTGATAACATTGATCAAATGGGTTTGACTCTGTTTATTGAGAATATGGCAAAGCACACTAGGGCTATCTGCCTAAGGGACAGATGCCCTCATGGAGGACTTTCTACGGAAATTGGCTCGCATACATGTTACAAATAAGGAAAACCATGAAAACACCCATGCAGCCTTGATCAGCCTTGATGGTGGGCCTTGATCAAATGGGAACATTAAGTGATGCGGGAAAACTATCCTTCCCAACAGCAATAGAATTTAACTAATTTAATACAAATAAAAGAAACATTTTAGCATTTACTTGCACAGAATTTAATTAGGAAAATGCAAAAATTTTTTTATGACGTGTTCATAACTTCTTTAACACAAAGAGTTCATAATATTTCTAGAAATTATTTGACCAATGCTATACCCCTAATCTTAATACTCACACAGCATCCCTCATTCACTGAAAGAAAACATACAAAATTTAAAATTAGAGAAAAAAAAAAAGTTTGGCATAGATGTTTTCACGAATTTTTCTTTAAAATAGATAGTTATTCACAATCTAAGCAAAATAAAGGTTGCTTTTTGCTTAATTTTAAATGATTACTAAATTGAAAACAAGCTATTTGGCAACATTTTTCTGATTCTCAGCAAATTTTTAAAATCTGTTTTGAGCTTATTTGGTGACTTTACTTCAAATTAAAAAATTATTTGACAATATTTTGATACTATTAACTGAATAGTGAATCACAATGTATTTTCCATATTTTTGTAGTGATGTATTTCATAACAAACACAATAAGCTACAAATTTACGATGGATTTCATAGTGATCATAATTAGTGATGTATTTTCCAAATACAAATGGCTGGGATTTCAGAAACTCAATAACAGTATCCAAACTGATAACACTAACCACAATCTTATTATGCAGCATCAAACTGAACATAGAAATTTCCAACAAACTGCATCTATATTCAAGAAAGGAAATAATGATCTGATTTTTTGATTAAAAATGGTTGAAAGAAAAAAAAAAAAAAATGAGTTACTTTGTTGAAAATGAAACATATAACAGAATAAACAGAAATATTTATCTCTGCACAAAATGAAAAAAATCGTAAACATTTTCCCACACATAAAAAATTGAAATTTACTTACTTAAGGTGTCGATTCAGTTCTTCAATATAATTTTTTTGATCCAAGACAGCAGTAAAATTATTTGTATCAACCCTTTAAGGGAAAAAAAATGTTAAAGGATCACGTTAATACCTAACTGTTAATATTTAATATTTTGTTAAAAAAAATATGCTACTATTCCTCATTTTTTGAGAAGGGGGATATATTTTGTCTTGCCCAAAAATCTGCTACAAAAGAAATGAGAGTAGTCATTCAATTCATCTGTTCCCCTTTCCCATATGAAAACACAAGAACAGTTAAAAATGAAATTACCACTAGCTGGTAAAAAAACTTTATAAGGAGAGTTTTAAAAATTCACAAGTTTGCAAAAATTTTCTTACTACAAGTTTTTCCTCTCACATAAACTTTAAATTTAATAATTTTTAGACCTCCAGAGGTTCTCTAGAAATACCCATCAAAACAAAAAATTAATTACACAAGAATACGCAGTTCAGTCACATTAATGTGACCATTTGTCAAAAGCCAGAATAACCACCTTTCGCAGAGCAGACAGCTGCGAGACTTTCAGAAAGAGAGTTAGTTAAGTTCTTGAAAGTGTTCACTTAAGATGTTCAGCCATGCCGATTCCAGTGCAGTGCCCAGCTATGATAAGTTACATGGTGCGAACAACCCTTTTGAGGTGGTCCCACAGATTTCTGATTGCGTCTAAGTACAGGGAGTTTGCTGACAAGGAAAGTATGGTAAATTCATCCTAGTGCTCTTCAAACCATGCACATACACTGCAAGCTGTATGACACTTCATATTGTCCTGCTGGTCGATGGCATCATTCTCAGGGTGGACATGGTCCGCAAGGACAGATGCATATTTCTATTGATCCATTGAGCCATCCACAATGATGACTACACCCGGAGAATGCCATGAAAACATTCCTTAGACCATAATACTCCTTCCTCCAACTTGATCCTTCATGAAAATGTTGCAGGGTGTTTGCTTTCCAATGTTTCATGCTGGAAAGGCTTTCCTTGGTTTACAAAATTACCAATGTCCATCTCTCTGATGGAACATAAAATGTGATTCATTGAAAAAAGGCCACTTGTCATCACTCAGAGGACGTCCAGTTGTGTACTTATGTGCAAACTTGTGTGCAAATTCTAGCCTTTGCCCCCAATGAACTGCAGTCAGCATAGGTGCTTTAATCAGGCATTTGCCATGGAGGCCCATATGCAGCCTGGTTCGCTGAATCATCGTTGAGGAGACACTGTTGATAGCCCCTTGGTTCATCTGGGCAGTCAGTTGTGCAACACTATCACGTCTATTCACCCAAATGCATCTCTGCAGCCATCCTTCATCTCTGTCATCTAAGGCCCATGGTGCACCACATTTGCTACGTCGCTGATTTTGATCGTGCCATTTTGCCATGCATGGCATACTTTTACCAAGGTTGGCATGTGTACAGTTTACAAAATTAGCCATTTTGGAAATGATTCCACCCTTGGCCCAAATGCCAATGATTATGCCCTTTTGGATGTCAGATAAATCGCTCCATTTCTGGATTACATCAACAACTGCAATGTTTTCTAATTCTCTCACACACCCTTTATAAATGCTCCACAGCTATGTCTGCTATGTGCTGTCACCTGCTTTCTGTGATTGGTTATTTAACGTTGACATCGAAAGTAGGTGGTGATCACATTAATGTGACTGGACTGTGCATAAAAGTTCAATGCAGGCTACATGCAAAGAAATTAATGAGACAATGAAAACTGAGTTAAAAGCACATTATATATAACACACTCCAAGTACTTAAATTATATTTATGATGATTTCTTAATCAAAATGTATTTTAAGCAGGAAATATACAACCAAGTAATCTTAAAAATGTTAATTTAGTAAACATATTAACTTATAGAATGTCAAAACTAACAAAATTTTATTTAGTTATGAACATTAAATTATACAGCAAAATTATAAATTAGAACGCACAAAAAATAAATCATTACACGAAAACTAATAAGATGGTTTTGAAATCAGCATTTACAGTAAACTTACGTTTATGTCACCTAAACTTAGAAGCATATACAATATATTTGTACTGTTACAATTTTATCATCAAAACTGGTTACAATGAGCTTAATATAACTTACTCTCTGCTATATATTTCCTACTGTGTATGCAATCAGGCATACTTTAATTTTAGTTATGAATAGTTAATAATATTCAATTTACAGCTAATACTTTAATAATTACAAATTTTTACAAAATAAGAAAAATATGAGAGTTAAAAATTTAGTACTGAACAAAACTATAACGTAACTGACAAGATTATAACACCTACCCTTCTGGTACTTGTACTTCGCCATTTGATTCCCTCAAATACAAACTGAAGTCAATGACACCTTGCTAAAATATGAACATTAAATCATTTTAATATGCACAGGTTTACATATTATTAGGTTATGCAAACTAACATTCTACAAGGATAATCAATAATATGTAAAATGATTACATGCCCATTCTTTAAATTTGTTCAAATATTCTGCTTGGTATAGTATATACTTTTAAGAAAATATTTATGATTCAATTTCAACACAGAGGAGTGGGGGATTAAACCATAATTGTAAGTATGTAATTCATTAAAAATACATTTTTTATTTATTTAACCATTAAGTTAACTCAGTCTTAAAATTTGATAGTTACACTGCTAAATATTTAAGAAAATCTTACCAAAATAAATGAAAAGATGAAGTGCTGAAGGTTTTGGCATATACCATATATTATGGCATATAATGCACACTTTTAATGCAAAAAATAATATCAAAATTTACAGGAGCCGATTATATGCTAGAAATAAAAATGTTAGATTTAAAAAAAAAGGAAAAGATGAGCATACAAAAATTAGATTTCTACGTGTACTTAAATGCTTCTTATTTAAATGAAATGACATAAATACCTTATGATCTTAACATTTTCATTACCAGATAATATGAAAAGTTCCATATTTGTCTTCCATTATATCTTCAGGCACCTCACTGAATTTTGTTTCATCTTCACCATCACTGTTACTCTGATCCATAAATAAATAATCATTTTCCATTTCACCTAAATTGTCAGGTATAGTACATTTTTTTAATGACTTCTGAATTATGTCGGGTTTAATTTCATTCCATGGTTTTATTATTTACTCTCACATTATTTCTAAACTGGCATGACACATTTGGCTTTTTTGTTTTGGGGTTAACGTTTTTTCACCTTCCAACATCCTTGTATTCCACTGTCACTTTAAATTTTCTTTGAATGGTTTATTGATATACACATCTAAAGGCTAAATTAATGGCATTAATCTCCCTGGAATAACTGCCGTGTCTATACTACACTCTTTTAAAAAGTTTGCGTCTTAAATTTCAATTGTGTTAGCGTAATTTAGTTAATTGCTATTAAGGTTTTTTATTTAACTGAAACTGTGACTAGTGTAGCAGATATTTGTTTTTAGCAGTTAAAAGCTTTAGTTGTATTTATTTTCAATAGTTAGATATTTCTCACGAAGAAGCAGGGTGTGGGTTTTCGGAATATTTGGAGAGAAGTGGGAGTGAAATTACTTAGTCAGTGTTCCCTAAATTTATTCTCTTGGCAGCTTGTGAATCGGGTTTACAATGAGAAAGAGCAGTTTAAAGTATCTGTTGTTATGGGAGGCCTCATTTACTGTGTCTGAAAAAAGGAAATCAATCTTGTTTCAATTTTGTTTTGAGAAGGTTGCAAGTCATGGATAAATGGTTTTTCAAATGGAGAGGCATTGAGTGGATTCTTTTGGGTGGCAATTAAAAGGGCAGGAGTAACCTTATTCTCCATGTTATTCTTAGAATTTGGAAGGGGTTAAGTTAACTGTGTCTTTTCTCATCAGAAATTTTGTTTAGGGGAAAAAAAAAAAGATTTGTCTGAAATTTTAGAGGGAAGGGGACTGAAGGAGCACAGCCAGCGCTGTTTAGCGACAGGCCCTAACTGGCTGGGGGCCACATGAATCTGTGTAAAAGCTGGCTGATTTTATCAAGCAATTGCAAGTAAGGAGATGAAGCTAAATTGAATGACTAGTGCCCAACTTTGTATTCCTGATGAAAAGTCTCTTTTTAATGCTTACTGTGGTGTTGAATTTCAAGTAGTGTTTTGGAGATTGAATAATGAAAATGCAATATAGTGCGAGATGATTTAGCACAGACTATTATCACCATACCTACTAATCACTTCAAACCTCGAAAGTGATATGAACGCAAAGAGGAATCAAGAGCAATTAAATATCCTTGATCTGCCTCCAGTAGCAATGCATGGTTTTGGACTTAGTGGACATTTCGTAGGTTGTTAACCAAAATAAGTGCAGGAAGATCTAATGGACTGTGAGATCTCGTTAGTATTCTGGTGATCACTACAATCACCGTAAAGGCAGTTTGATGTTTGGTCTTCAACCTGCCAGTGATGATTTTTTACCTTGTCTTCTATTTTAATTGATACTGTAAGGATCCTTGAAAGTTAGCAACTATGCAATGATCAATTATTTTTAATGTATATGTAAATGAAAAGATTACAGAATTTGCTTAACTATCTAAATTTGTGAATAATGGAATGTAAAAACAATATTAAAATAAGATATAATACATTAAGATGAGGGTATTTTAATTAAGACACAATAACACGCTGAACAAATACTAATTCATAAGTCAAACAACAAAAATCAGCGTTATATTTTCAAAATTTTCACAGTCCAGTCACTGTGAAAATTTTGAAAATATAATGCTGATTTTTGTTGTTTGACTTCTGAATGAGGGTATTTTATTTAGTAAATTTAAATATATGTGTTTAAATGCATTTTACTGAAAATATTGTAAGCAATTGATCAGTTAACCGAATCATTTGAAAGTTCATTTTAACTAGAAAATAATAAATGTGTTTAGTGATAAATATTGTATGCTTTATTTTTGTTCTTTATTTGCTGGTCTGTCCAGTCACTGCATTTGTTTGAAGTTTTTTTTTTTTTTTTTTTTAATTTGGAGATCAACTTACTTGGGTTTAATGATCAAGCAGAAAACATGTAATTATATGTACTAATTATTTATTATTATGGAAGATTATTGATAAATTATTTGATTAATTGAAGATGCTAAGAAATTAGTTAAACTAATTTAATTTTATGAGGAACTGATTGATTGATATGTATAAATATTTCTTTCCTGGTGTTTGTGGGGTTGTAAATTAAACAAAATGAAGTTGTTGCTATCTCTATAGAAAGTTATGAAATTGATTTAGTTTATGTGATTTGAAGTAGCGGTATTTTTAAGATAGGTATCATTCCTTATTATACCAAGCACCAGCATAGTCTCCTTTCTTTTCAGGTTATTGATTTCATATGTTTGAAGTGGATATAATTGACATTTATTGATTTAACTTCAGTTCAGATCAATTACACAGTTCCTCAACACAGTATAATTTAGTTCAGCTTTTTTAAGCTTGATACCTTATTTCTTTATTTTTGTCAGGCACCAGTGACAGAGAATGTTAAATAAGCTAGTTTTTGAAAAAATAGTTATTATTACTCTTATTTCTTTATATAACACAAACACACACATACACACAAAGTGCCCAAAAGGCTATTATTATTATTATTACAAAATTTGTTATATAACAACAATTTCTTCATATTCAAAAAATAGTTATTATTACTCTTATTTCTTTATATAACACAAACACACACATACACACAAAGTGCCCAAAAGGCTATTATTATTATTACAAAATTTGTTATATAACAACAATTTCTTCATATTATTCATTAGATGGGATATGAGCATGTCCCAAACTATGAGACTTTCTGGATTCTTTAATGTAACATGATGCTTTTGCCAAACATTTCTTATCCTCAATTTTACACTGTTTTCATCCATCCATCCTTTCTCTTGAATAAGAATGAAAGCACCATATGGGAAATTACATTTCAGTATCATGTTTCTTCTACACCAACTCAAACTTGCTTTAAAGTTTTCACTTTCATTTGCGTTAATTTTGCCGACTTTAAGGCAAATAAAATGTATGCTGTTTCTTGTTACAATTAATCAATTCTGGCAAATTTATAGTACCAGGTTCTCAACACTCTTCTAGGATAGACTATTTCATTACTCCTTTATGGAAAGCACATTTATTCTTTAGCATATTAATTATTGTGATTTAATTTTGTTTCACTCACATATGGAGCTTTCACCAACACCAAACATCCTTGCTACAGCACAATCTCCTTTTTTTTTCTTCCTGCAAATTGAATGACTATGCATTTGAAACCAACGCTGAGTTTTGTTTTGCAGGAGTCATATTGACTTCTAAAAGACATACTAAATCAATTGTATTTCAATTAAAGTATTAAAGTAAGAGTATCAGACATGTATTTTTGAGGTTTATTTGTAAAGAAAAGGGTACACATTATACAGCGAATGTACCTAAAATTTAACAAATGTAATTTGAAATTATAGGTGCATGTTATATGATGGGATGTATGGTATTTTGAGAGTTTAATGGCATATTAGCATTACCTATTCATAAACATTTACAACTGCATTTATTAATAAGCTTTTTACTTAGAAAAAAAAATTATGTAAAATAGGGAGAGAAAAATATAAAAAATGTTCTGAAGAGGGAAGCTTTTCCGCTCATTTAAATCTATTTAGACTAATTTTTTAAATTAATCTTTAAATATTAATGCTCTTTTCATCATTTGTTTATTGGCGAGATTACTCTCAAGTCAATTTTTCAAATTAATTCCTATAATTTTACAATAAAACAAAATGTTTTACTGATTAATATCCAAAGTTGACATCTTTTAGAGTAGCATTTCAATATAGGTATATTTTTAATCATGTCAACTTATTTTTTTCTGTCTTTTTTTATTTTTTATACTATTCAAAATCATGCATAAGAATTTTTATACAATCATTGAAAAAACATTTGAACATACTTCCTAAATGCAATATAAAACACACAAGAGGTAAAGGCAGCAATGTGATTATATGTATAACATAACATTGCTTATAAAACATTTACCTGATAATCTAAATCTTCTTCCTTCACACATAAATTACAGTCTATAACATTTAGTCCTACAAGAAGGCCACCAACAATTACAGCTTCTTCAGACATCATTAAAGCATCTCTTTCATAAAAGTCCCTATTTAATAACAAAATAAGCATTAAATAAATAAGGGACACCCATACACACATGTTAAACTACAAACCCAAAAGATAACAATTTAATCAAAACTTTAAAAACAGTAAAACTGTCCTGAAAAATCATATTTTTTTAAGAGTTGTACAAACTCTCCCCATATACACAGGATTAAAATTTAAAACTGAAATAAAACTTTTTTAATTAAAATTTACGTGCATTTGAATTACTTCATGTTATAATATGACACGAAGAATTAGCAAAGACTATGCATAATGTCTTTCTTTTTCTTAATAATGACATAAGAAGATACAAGAAGTTTCAAAATAAAGCTTTAGTATAACTCACTTACAGCAAGCATATGTACTCTGATTACTTCTAAACAAAACTTTAAGTAATACTTAAAAATAACTGAAGGGGAGAAAAATTGAAAAACAACAAACATTTTAAAGTAGTGCAAAGACAACATAGAAGTTCTCATGCAGGAAACCAGAAATAAAATAAAGTAAAATGGAATAATAATGTTCTCATACCATTGAATGAAATAGATACATTTCAACATAAATAATTAATATTTGATCCTAGGCTCATTAACAATTTATCTTAAGAGGAGGAATATAAAATGTCTATTTTAAGCATTAAAAATCACCTTAAAATTTCATCCTTTCTATCAATTAGCCTTCGAAAGTAATCTGCAAGTTTCTTTTGCATTAAAGCTAACCTCAACCATGCTCTTGCTCTTCCCAAATGAGTTCTACAGAAAATGAGACAAATCGTTGGTTATAGATTTATTAAGCATATATAGGCAATAGTCTTTAATCCGGACTCGTTGGGACTTTGGCGATTCCGAATTATCCGTTTTTCTGGATTATAGATTATCAGTTTAAATCTGGTGAGATGGCATGCAGAAATTATAAAATTAAAGATATGAAATCATAATTTATGAAATAAAGAGCAATTATGATCTAAAGAGTATCAAAATTTACAAAAAAAAAAAAAAAAAAAAAAAAAAAAAAAAAAAAAGCTTAATATTTACTTGTTTACTTTATTAAACATTTCTTTCAACGACCACATGCGTAAAGCATATATTACGCATAGTCGAAATTAGAAAATTGCAACCAGAAAACTATTTGATGTGTATTCGTGATATTTATAATGACGAGGAATTTGATTTTAATCATATCAAAGACGGAGTACATGGAGATGAAATACTACATTTAGCAAGGAATTATAAGCCGAATAAAATAAAAACATCTGCCCTGAAGATAAGGATAGTGCTGACAGATCAACTTCCAGTTCATTGCGTGCTGCGTCGTTCCCCCCTTCCCCTCCGTAGAGCAGCATGAAATTCATAAACATATTTCGGAATGATTAAAGAATCAAAGGATATGCCTTTATCCATTTTTTGCAGCAATTCCACTTTTGTTTGATAGACATCGGAACATGCTTTCGCTTTGTAGATCGTTTGGTGGCTCCAGAATCGGAAATTCTTTTTGACACATTCAAAAGTTCAAGCTTACTTTTATAAAATTGCTCTAACAGTCTGAAAAAAAAAATAATAAGCTGGATCCAATTAGAAGATTACGGAACAACACAATCTGCAACATTAACTGAAATAGATAATTAGATAATTTTAGCTTAGCTTATACCGTCCATTATACATTAAACACGCATGCGTAAACGTATTACGCGCATGTGTAAAGGTATTATGCGTATGCGTTGATGCATGCGCAGAAAGTTTGTAGCTTTGAGGTCCAGATTATAGATCATTCCGTATTATGGATGTCCGGATTAAAGACTTTTGACTGTATTATATTATTCTCATTGAATGCAAGATAAAATATTATTTTTATTTTTGCTTTTAAAACATATTTAATTAATATTTGCATTTTAAAAATACAGCAACAAAAATAGAAATAAAAATAAACATAAAAATATCTGAAATCTGGAAATTCTGATACATTTAATACTAAGAAAGAGCAAAGGAAAACTTGATTTTGAAAAAAATAAATATCTGTCGAGTGCATTTAAGTCTATTCATAAGTCAAAAATCAAATTATTAACTTACTGAAGTCCTTATAAAATATGAAATAAAAAAGCTTCCAAAAAAAAAAAAAAAAAAAAAAAAAAAAGAGGTGGACAATTCATAGTAATAACAAATTAATTTAAAAGTAGATGAAGTATTATAAAAACGAAGTGATGTTAATTACAAAATATATGAATACCTTAAGATTTATTTTGAATACTTCCTTTTTGTATAGACGATTTCAGAAGTATAATATTTTTATTAATTTATTTAACATCCAATACATGAAAAGAATTAATTATACTTGGTAAAATGATCTTCATATTATGACTATAAAAATATCATTAGTATTAAAGATGTTTTACTTCAATTAAAATTCTAGAATAAAATTTTTACTTATTTTTTGAGTTTCATAATAATAAACATAATGTACAGAAAAATATTAAAAATTAAAAGAAAAAATATATAGTTCCCTTACTTTACAGTAGGAAGTTCTCTTACACTTGATGTTATGTCAGAAGCTTCAGGCATGTATTTTTCTACAGTTTCCAAGACATTCCACAATTCTTTTTTTGGACCCAACAGACCTTTTTTAGCTATTTTATGAAAGGCATCTAAATATGCTATGTTTACACAAATACAATATTAAAACATTCTTAAAAATTTTAAAGATTTACTGCCTAAACATATGCAGTATCATCTTTGACACAATGATAACATCTTCACAGTCACAAATATTAACTGAAATATTAAACATATTTATATAGGAAGTTTATTTAGAACAGAATAATAAGTAAAATTAAATATACAAACAAGCATTAAAATGAACTGGAATAAGCTTTAAAAATACAAGTATTTGCATATTATATAAAATATTTTCTTAAAAAATAAATGATATAATTAGCCGATTTCTCAAAAGCTAATTACATTAAAAATGCTATTTATACATTTTTTCACTGATAAATTACAAAACAGATAGATAATACATTCAAATTTGGTACACATTTTCTGCCTTAATTAAAAAAAAGTGTATCTAAAGTACACTGCTGGCCACCGTAAATGCAACACCCTGAAGGAAGCATGCAAATAACATGAAATTTACAACATGCATTAGCGGAGGTGAGATATGCAAATGATTAGAATTACAGCGCAGACGCACGTCAGCGCGCGCCTGTGGCGCCACTTCAAAGCGCTATTTAAGGCTTGGAGTTTTCGACGATTTCAAGTTCGGCAATGTTTTTCTTGTGGTTTTTTCAAAAAAATGATCAATTATGCCTCATAGTAAACAGCGATCATCGTTTGATCAAGTATCTGACTTCGACAGAGGAAGGATAGTGGCCTACCGAGAGTGTAGATTATCTTTCAGGAAAATTGGTAGTCATGTTGGATGAAACCAAACGACTGTAATGCGGATATGTGACTGTTGGATGCAAGAGAGTACAACAGGGCAACGTGTTCGATCGCATTCACCTTAGTACACCACTTCACTTGATGACAGGAACATAGTGCGCATGGCAGTGACGGATCGTTCAGTCACATCATGAACCATAGCACAGCACATTCAGTCAGTAATGCATCATCCAGTGTCTGCGCGTACCATTCGATGCCGTTTACAGCAGAGTGGTCTGTCCACAAGACGTCCATTGCTTCGTCTACCCTTGATGCAGAACCACAGACTTCTCCGCCACCAATGGTGCGACGAAAGAAAAGATGTAGACCACAGAATGGAATGAAATTGTCTTTACTGACGAGTCACGCTTCTGTCTGCAATACCACGATGGTCGGATTCAAGTCTAGAGACACTGTGGAGAGAGAATGCTGAACAGCTATGTTATGCACAGCCACACTGCTCCTGCACCGGTATTGGCTATCACTCTCACACTCCTCTAATATGTACGGTACTTTAAACAGCCAGCACTACAGCTCCGAGGTGTTGGAACCAATTGTTCTTCCTTACCAACAGGGCTTGCCCACAGCCATATTTCAACAGGATAATGTGCGACCACGTGTGGCACGCATTGTCCAAGGGTTCTTCGTCAATCACCAGATTGAATTGCTTCCCTGGCCAGCTCTCTCTCCGGATCTTTCGCCGATAAAAACATGTGGTCCATGGTTGCTGAGCGATTGACCCAGGTTACATCCCAAGCTGCCACACCAGATCAACTTTGGCAACGTATGGAAGCTGCTTGGTCTGCTAAAGTCTCTTTGAATCAATGCCGAGGCGTATGGCAGTGGTGATCTCCAACAATGGCAGCTACTCTGGCTACTGATTCTGGAAGGAACCACACTTAACAGAAGTCTATAAATTTAATCATTTGATACTTGGTCAACATGTTATCTACTAAATAAATTTTGTTGTGATATCTCTTGTCTTTCTTGGTGTTGCAATTTGGGTGGCCAGCAGTGTTATATTCAATAATATACCTAATGGAATATAAGAATTTTTCTTTCCAAATGGATATTCCATTTTTTGCATTATAAGGAAATTCATATAAAATGACAAAATTCAAAATTTAATGTATATATCAATTTAATAGCATAATACAAAATCAGAAGAAATACTTATGCAGTATTTCATAAGATAAACAGTAATTATGAGTTCCAAAGTGCAATTTTAAAAATTTTTCACAAGTGCTTGAATACACTTAAATTATATACATAGAACTTATATTATTGAATCTCCTAAGAAAGAGAAGATGAATGACTGTAAATACTTCAGAAATTTCTAATTGCATAAAAAGATTATTATGTATTTCTGATTTCTTGATAAAACATTCAGTGCCACAAAAGTGAAACTGATTAAACACACTTGATATTGTACTAAAATTGTACATTGATACTAAAATTTGATATGTAAAATACATATTTTTCAAAATATCACTGCCAAATATAAAACATATATTCAGAATAAAAAAAATTAAATAACATTGAATGTTAAATGCCTTAGTGATGATCATTAGTAAGGCTTTTCTCTGGTACTAATTTATTCAAATTAATTATCTACTTTACTAACTTTATTGACAGGTACTTACTTTTTGCTTCATTTTATTGAAGTTAAGACATTAATAAATACTGCAAAATTATTAGCTGCCTTGTTCAGTATGGTGGTTAGATGAAACTTGTTACCATGCTGATGAGCTCAGCCTGGATAAAAGAATATTTATGATTGTAGTTCATGGAAATGGGGGACTTAGATTCTATTAGTCTGAGCTGTTGGTGGTAGAAGAATAAAGTGCTCACCTAGGGCTGGTGCTGATCAAAACTGAGATGAGGCTAGTTATTCAAGGGCTTTGAACAGTAACAATATACCTCTTGAGCCACCCATGATTGTTTTTATGAGGCCCAAATCTGTCAACAATTTTACTTTTATAACACTATTTCAGTAAGATTTTTAACTGAACAAAACCATAGCTTTATAACTTCCATTTCCCCTTTTAATGCAGTGCTATTCCATATAAAATAATTATAAATAATAATTCAGTATTTTTCTATTTTATTATTTTTTTATCAAATTTTATTAATTAGTTTTTATAATTAAATGCACTTTGTAAAGAGATACAGGTTTCACAAGAGTCAAATAATTTTGTTCAAATGTCAGAGTTTTTACTTTAATATATTGTAGTATTATTTTTTTAGAAAATAAAATTTGAATAACATGGAGCAGACAATTTTTTTTTATACAAGACCCACAAAATGGGACACAAAGTCTTTAAAAATACAGAAATAGCTTCACAGAAGAAAAATTAACTTACGTTTTAAACCATGCCTCATAGCATGTTCTAATAGAATAAAAAAGTGCTGAAGAGGAACATGATCAGAATCAAGTTGACGACCATATTTTAAAGATGATTCAATGAGTTCTTTAATAACCAGCTTTATCACATTAAGAAGGTTTGACCTCTCTATTGAAACAGGATCTCTTTCTGAAAATAAAAAATAAATAAATAAATAAAAAATGAAATTTTTAATTTGTGAAAGAAAAAAAACGTATTTTAACATTTTATTTTAAAACTTATAACATGAATCATAACTTAAGATCATGGATGATAATTTTTGCCTGAACCTGAATTTAACTTCAAACATTTTTCAAGAACAACTTAATTTTAGTCAATTTATGAAACAATATTTACATCTATTCTTAACAAATACATATTTTACCGAGGTAAATATTACAAGTGTTTTCTTTCAATTTAAATTTCTGTTTAAAAATACTGAAGACAAATATAAAATATTACTTTCTCTAAATGAGCATTCAATTTTAATATCCATTCTCCTTACACATTATAAAATTTTTATACGTATAAAGAGGAAATTCTTAGTATGCATTAAAATTATTATATCTTATAATATATATTATTGATATCTTATTTAAAAAATATGAACAACTTCCTATACAAAAAGAATAAAAATATAACCCCATGTAACTGCGCAAACAACTATTAAGCTTTTCAAGACCACTAATCTTTCTGCTTTCAAAATTAACCGGTATGAATATATAGAAAAATAAAGAGTATTTTTGCAATTTAATTGGTCTAGAAACAAGCAGCTTAACAACTACACATTACAGAAGATCAGAATAGCCCTTATTCCGTCTATTCTGATCTGTAATGTGTAGTTGTTGAGCTGTTTGTTTCTAGACCAATTTAATAACAAATTTACGCATTATTTTTCTAGGAAGCTGTATATTTTACAGCGCTGTAAGCGATTAGTATATTTGGAGCCCGCAAAAATTATACTTACTAAAGGTGAAATATCCTTTCATTCAGTTGTGGTTTGCGAGAAAAACCTAGCTGACACCTCCGTCAGATTGGCGCCCTGGGCGACTACGCTAGGCAGTATCGTCTATGCTTGAAGCTGGCCTTGTATCAAATATGTTTCTCTCACTCCCTTTTCCTGCATTTTCTTGATTAATAATAGTTGCTATTTTCAAAATAAATGTTGCAAAGTACAGCCTTGTAGCAACTTATTTTCAGCATGTCATTTTTACCCGCGTTAAAAAAAGAAGACTCTATTCTTTTCAAAAGGTTGAAATACCATTCATACAAAATAATCCATGTTTTCATAACCTCACTTTGAGGACGTCATAAATTGTTTTCAGAAAAAATATGAAATGTAATAAATGTTACCATACACATTAAATAGAACACTACATAAACTAAAACATTAAATCGTAATTTATCTTTTACAAAAATTTTTATTTCAATGAAACCTTATAAATTACCCCAGTGGTGCCCAAACTTTGGTGTCTCGCGAGCAAATTTTGGCCTATGGCGAGCACATTTCCAAAACATCAACATTTTTGTTAAACATACTTCCAATCTCATATGACACATCTGAAATATTAATTTCGGCAAATGAGTTTGAAATGAATAATGATATTGGTTGAACTTTATGGAAATCAGAGAAGCAGAGTTCAAAATTATTTTTCAGTGCATTTAGGTTTTCCGAGTATTTCTCTGTTTCAATTGGCTTGTTATTAACATGGCTTGATAAACTCTGAAAATGGGTGAAATTTGTTTCTTTCATCTAATTTATCCACAAATTTAACTTTATCTGAAAAGCAGTTACAGTCCCAGTCAACTGAAAAAAAGGTTTATTCTTGTCCCTGGAGATCTTTTCAATTTAGGCGTGAGAAAATACAGATCGGATAACCAATTATTGTCGTCTAATTCTTTATAACTTTCATTTCCGGATTCCCAAAACTGCTTTATTGGCGAGAGAAGTTCTACAAATCGTTGAAGTACTTTTCCCCTGCTGAGCCATTTAACATCGGAATGAAGCAATAAGATTCCATGTTCGCTATCAAGTTCATCAGTCAGCAATCAATATTTAATAACGTCTTGCAAGATATTTCTTATGACTATAAATGCTTACCATATTTTAACAATTAAGAAATATAAATGAATGGTTATTTTAAAAATATTTTTTGTTCATAGTACCTAACCAGGCTGGCGAGCACAAGGTTGGGCACCGCTGAATTTCCCCAATTTCATTATTCAGATAAGGTTTTTACAAAAAAAAAAAAAAAAAAGGTGGATATTTTAAAGCTATTTTTCTATTTCCAAAATATAGCAAAAAGTATATTTATGCCTTAATTACAATGAATCACTTAAAAAAAAAAAAAAAAAAAAAAAAAAAAAAAAAACACTAAATACAATTTTTTATCTTGAGTTGATTATTATGAGATAATATTGAAAAAAAGATAATATATAATGATCTTGATAGATTTTAATTTATAATAAGTCTAACTATGATGCGAAATGTAGAAACTTTAAATAAATCAGCATGGTATTTAGATGCCGCATTTCTTCGAAATTAAGACTTAATATTTTTCGCATAAAACTTTGGATTGATACAGCAATTCTCCCACTAATTCCAACCACTAATTTAGTGAAGTAAAACATTTTTTAAAAGTACAGCTAAAATTTTTTAAACAGATACAGCGCTGCAGTCAAAGTCGATTATTAAAAAAATGTTTGCTAGGTTCTTTTAAAGTTTCATTTTATAAATAAAATAAAATTAGTTTTTTCTTTTTTCTGTTACAGGTATTATGGGATGCGTCTTAAAATCGAAGAAATATGCTAATTCAAATTTAATTATATTTAGTAACTATGCAAGTTAGACTGGTGTTTAGATTCGAGCACACATATTTAGATTAGGGCACTGGATTTCACAAGCTTTCAAGGAACAATAAACTTAATTTTGTACACGAAAATACCAGTAAAAGGATATAATTGAGTAAAACCAGTAAAAGGATTAATATTGAGGAATTTCTCTTATAAATCACTGCCTGTAAGACAAAATGCCGGACGTAAGATTTTATACGCACACAATCTTAATCAAATCTCTAATCTAGATTTTAATGTAGTGCGAATTACTTCGCTTTGTTATTAAAAGAATCTGATGTGTACACCACATGACTTCCTTGTACCGAATATTAAATTATACGCATTTTTTCTTGCATTTCATTTAACTTATTAGATTGAATTAAACCTACTTTCGCCGATAGCGCATAAACCACAACAGAATAAATGTATTCTTTAAAATTGACTTCGTTTACCATAGCGATACTCTGGCGCTAGGTTTACTTAACAGTATTATATTTCGTTCATATTATAACTTATGACTTGACTTATGACTTACTTTTTTCTGGTCATTAACTACTAAAGAGTTTTTGCCAGTAGATCGCATTAAAGTGCACTAGGCAAAGATATTTTCAAATAAATGGTACTAGGGAAGTACCAACACCCGTGGCCGAAGAAAATTCAGCTGCGTGAGCAGGCATATCTTAATACTTACGAAAGTAGGCGTTTATCATAAAAATTGTGCAGTGGTAAGCAATGGCATTAAATTGAAGCATGTAGGCAGGTTCAGTGAGTTGTATGGCAAATGCAGGTGGTGAGCTCTATATAGCTAGTAAGAGTGCAGGATAAGCAATAGTGAGACATCATGAAAATGGCGCGAAGACAGTTTGAAGCTGTGAATGGCATAAGAGTTCAAAGTCCTTCAGAAGTATGCAGTATATTATAACGAAATCGAAATCGAGTCAATGGCTAGGCGGCAATTAGTAGCCAACCGCTACTTTAACCGTCTCTGTTGGTAAATTGCCCTAAGGCGTTGGTACTTAAGTTTTTAATTAAGGCGATTTACGCCGCGCCAACTAGGCGAAACTTGTCAAATTTTGTGAAATGTAGGTGAGTAAGGGAGCCGCGTGACAGGCAGGAGCCTGTCACGCGGGTGGTCACCAGCTTACGCGTACAATGAGAAATATTGGAAATATTAATAATTATCAAGTTTTGAAACAGGTTATCTAGATTGGAATAATTAAACTAATATCACGATCTAAATGAAGACAAATGGCACAACTAAGTGCAACAGATTAGCTAAACAAAATATTCAAATTCATCCTTTCTGTAAAACACGGATTGGACAGTGGTAGTCACGTGGGAGTCACCCTCCCGTGAACTGTCCACAGCCCAATGCATCTTGAAATAGTAGATATCACAATTCAGTGAAGTCTTGGTCTGAGAAATTAAACACTAAAGTTCTTATACAACACTGAGGCACATGAGTTACTGTAACTATACACTATGTACATATAGGGACGGCGGTATTTGAGCGAAGTGGCAAATGGTGAAAAACATTTTACACTAGCAATAAATAATCAGAGCTTTGAAGATCCAGGTACGTATATTATAACTCAGAATGCACAAAATTTATATCATTTAAAGAATTATCTAATCGTTGCCACATGTTCTATTCAAATACTATAACAAAGCTAGAACGATGTATAAAAGAAATTAAGCAAATAAAACGCAAAAGAAACAGTTTTTCACAGACGATTGAGTATTTCTCATTCAATTCAGTTTTCACTTCGCGACAGGGCAAAAATACATAAAAACTCAAAATATCTGTATTAAAAATTACGAAGTAAATCTTAAATACTTATTTCCTCGAAAAAATTCCAGAAAGGATTAAGCATGATTTAATTCGCAATAATAAATGAAGGCGTTATTTTTGTGTTGCGAAGCTTAGTGTCTCTAGATTGGCAACAAATCTACAATTCTGCTGTTTCAAATGTAAACAAATATGGTCCGCCCATGTTATTTAAAACTTAACCGCACTTAAAACAACTTTTTAAATTGTTGATAATTGTACAAATATTGCTTCCAGAATTACGAAAAGGTATAAAAACTTAACCGGAAGATAAAAACAACATAATTCAATCATTTTTAAAGCAAAAAATGTACAATTTACAAACATATAAGAGTAAAGAAACTGAGATCACTGAGCCGGGTAACAGAGTGGATATATTTATAAATATATTTATATACGTTTGGCGCGGCCGATTGAAACCAAAATACGAGGTGCACATCTACATGTTATAGTAGTCTTATATACAAAATTTCAACGTTCTGAGGCTACTCGTTTTTGAGTTATGCGAGATACGTACGCACGTACGTACATACGTTCGTACAGACGCCACGAAAAATTCTCTTCAGAATTCATTTTAAAGCAGTTTTTTAGTTTTTTTGGAGGAAAAGAGTCTTTTATTCTGTCCTTAGGTATAGATATTAGGCAAAAACATCGTTAAATTGCATTCGAAAGCGGTCAAAGTGGATATTTTCGTTGAAATATGCTACCTTAAGCTTTTCGCGATTACAATACTTCCTTTTTACTTCGTACAAGAAAGTAAAAAGATAATTTGCATGTTACAATGGAAAATAATATTTTTGTTTTTATAAAAATAATTCACATTTAACGAAAAAAAAATTAGTTTCACCGAAACAAAAAGTTTCATTTTAGTTGATAAAACATTGAACTATGAACAACTCGAAGATTAAATTTCAATATTACATACAAGGAAAAAAAAAAAAAGCTATTTCTAAAATTATATCCTAGGTATTTTACTAACTTATTCACAATGTTACCAAATTTCCCCAAAAGTAAAAAGAAACTGAAAAAATAAGAAAGGATTTATAACATAAGACTTCAAAACTTAAAAATGCTTCAACCTTCTTTGACTTCATAAGGCTTTTCAGGAGGAGGTGGTTGAGTTAAATCAAACTGGACATCAGTCAGTTCCCTAAGGCAAAGCCATTCACCATCAACAGAAACTCGAAAATTGCATAGATAAATTGTATCTTTAGCCATTTTGAAAATATACTGCATTAAACATTAGTTAAGGATGTTAAAAAATAAACATTTTTAACAAGCAGCTTGAAGTCACATGAACATTTTTATAAATAATCATTAACTTAGTTTAGACATAAAATTTATTTGTGTTTAAAATAATAAAAATGCAATTTTATTAATTTTTCAGGTTCTAGAAATTTGGAAATTGGTAACCGACTGGTGGATTCAGTTTTAAAACTTCCAAAACCGGGAAAACAGTACTGAAAGTCACGACAAAAATCCACTAAGAAGAAATTTATTTCAAAGCATCCAAATACATTTTTCACTGTTGACCTTATCTAGATCAAAGACTCATCCCTGAAGGCTAGCTAATGGCCAGTACATTAAATGTAAGTGCTTCAATTTCCGGCGATTCAAAGGGGTGACTATATGAAGTTTGTGAAATAATATACTTGGCCAAGAAAGTATTCCTCTTGGCAGATAATTTTCGAATGATTTTCCATAATAAAGTATTCACATGTCTATCTACATCCATTAAAACTGATATACGTAAGAGTAACACATATGCAACATATATACTCAAAAACAGAGACGGATTTATGGGGGTCGCGTAGATGGCAATCATAAGGGATAAATCAGCAATTCAGAGTTTTTTTTTTAATTATTGCATTAAAAGGAGAATGTGAAGCTGAATTAAGATACAGGAATTAAATTTTTTTAAAATTCTACTCAAATTCAGCCATAAATTCAAATCAAAAAATAGCAAAATAACTCTGACGATTATAAATAAATGCGATAATTATTCGTTCGAATAATCTGACGATGAATCAAATATTCCTAATGCATCACGATCTTTCAGATTATGCACCAAGACACCTACCACGGACCGTGTGAACGAACATATGGTAAATGGATGGTGATAGTCGGCTATTCAAAAATATTACATTTCATGTGTAAATGACAAATTTTAAGTTTCACAATTTAAAAGTGTGAACTATATTTATATATACATATATTATTTAGAAAAAATATATACACACACACACACACATATATATATAAATTTGAACATGAAAACAAAACAAAAAAAGTACCAGATGTTTCTGCAATTCCTAAACAGAAGAGTGAACTATTTAAATTTCCTAAAGAATTAGCATCCTTACGTTCAATATATATATATATAACATAATATAATCACAAGGGATATCACAGTAATATATAATGTAAATATTTTGATAAACATAAATTTTTTCCTTAATAATATTAAATATAAAAAAATTACGAAGGTAAAACTGAATGTAATAACTAATGACTCATACTAAAATTACAATCCACGTTATACTTTTAGAAATAAAATTTCAAGTGTTTACAGCAATATTTATCAAAGCCTAACAAAAGTATTTTCGAAAAGATTTTTGACAATTTTACCAATTCTATGTAATATACATGTTTTTCTCCTTTCGTATATAAATGAATTTTACACTACTTTTCACTAAAATTGCAAATATAAAATCTGTCGTACTTAAAATAAAGACAAACGCCTGCAAAATCACTGCAAATTCCAGCATTACAACAAATATTATAATCAGGTTTAAAACAAGTAGGTAGTAGAGCGAGTGTTAGATCGAGAGGAAAATTATCACACTACTATAAACGTGTAGTAAAAAATATGTAAGGAACATTTATTTCTAGAGATTTAATCAAACACTTCGTTCAAACGAAATAGCTCTCAGAATTTGAAGAACGACAGTGAGGAATAAAGTAACTATGCTATTTTCAGGATGGAAATTGCATAATACAGACTATATGGATGACACATGATAATTACGAATTCTAAAAATGAGTTCAAACCGTAACTCAAGAATTAGACGGTGGCATTAAAATACACATTTACATTATAAAATGACAACAATCACAAACATATTTGTGAATCAATTCCGTATACGATTACAATAAAAGGGAGAAGTGAGATGAGAGATTTTTCTCAGCAAAGGATACAGAGAATGAACTTTGATAGAGAAATTAATAACAGAATATTCTCAGTAAGGTGGTCTGCAATCGCGACACAACATGGAGAATACCTAACAAACTACGTCACAAGCAAAATTTAGACGATCGATGGTGACATCCATATTGATCCAACCACCTAGCGGATACAAACTAAACTAGCGTCCAATTTTTGAAGTTGGAAGTTACTTAATCTTTAAGGATGTCAGACTAAACGTATAAATCCCATAAAAAAAGAAATTTATTTTAAGACTATTTCGTAATAAATAATGCATTCATTAAATATGCTGCTTAAGAAAACACACGTAAATAAATTTGTTATTTAAAGCGTGTTACGTGTTGAACAAACCAACATTTCCCCTCCTTTTTATTTATTTTTTCCTAGTGGTATAAGACAAATTTTTTTCGCAGCTTGGAATTTTGTCTGCTATTAAATCAAGGAAATAATAATATATACACTTTTTTAAAAGGTGACTCTCCCAAAGGAAACGATAAAGAAAGGAATAAAAAAAAGGGGGAGAAGGTTTTGCTCCATATGCACCGCAAAAGTAAAAGATATAATCCCAAAAGCATTTTTAAAAAAGGGGGGAAGGAGGAGGAGGAGATGAAGAAAAACGTTATAGGAAAAAGAATTCACACGTATACGTAGCCACGAATATGCAATGATAGCTCTCCTGATTGAAAATATCTCTTCCGATATTACCAGCCCCCTTTTTAATAGCCCTAACAAAAGGGAAAATGCGCATATTAATGTATGTATATACGCACACAAACACACAAAAAGAAAACGAATGTACTTATATATACATATGTAATCAGAAATTTTGTAAGAATTTTTTAATCTTTCATGATCAATCATATTCTTTGCTGTAGTATTTAGCATGTGCAATTAATATAATTTAGTCTTTCTCTTCGTTTCTCTTTATATAATATGCATGCACATATGCATATCCTTTATACATGAAAAAACAAAAAAAGAGAAAATTCTAAAAGCCGTTAGCCGTATAACATTCATAATAACGATTTCTCGATTAAATAAACACCGAAATAAGCTTTATGAAAACAAAACAAGAAGTTTCAATGCGATGAGACAGAAACAGAAAACATTTCACATCAGATTAATTTTATCCTAAGATTGTGTGTGTGTAATTATGGCAAAGCCTCGAGGGCTATCTGTCTAAGGGGAGGGGTGCCTTCGTGGAGGACTTTCTAAGGGAAACTGGCTCGTATACACGTTACACATGGGGAAAACCACGAAAACGCCCATGCAGCCAGCCCGTTCGCAGGATTTATCCTAAGACTGAAAGTTGGTTTATAAAATCAGTATGAATCTAAAGTTGAATTTCGGCTGATTTTAAATGTGAAATTGGAGCACCTCTTTCCTTACGTTTCTATAGGCTCCTTTGAAGTTAATATTTTTATTATTACTTTATAAGGTTATTGTTTAAATTTCAGCCATTAATATAACTTCTCCTTTCCGTTTCCTCACCAGAATGTAAATGAATTTAACTATTATTTAAAGTGAGGTCTTTGGAGTTTAAGACAGAACGTGTTTCTGGTCTACGCGTGACCGCTATGTTGAGTTCATGACGGCTCCGATAAGTTATAATTATTTCGCTTTGCGTTATATCGCTTTACGATAAGTTGTAATTATTCGGCTTTGCGACCGCTGCCGGTATTTCACATTGATACGTCTCTAGAATCACTAAACCAGCTTAGGAGTATATTTAAATTGTGTAGCTCTTTTCATGAAACTTAACTTGAAATAGACTGTTCCTTTAGTTCCATTACCATGAGCTGTGGTTGATTTTGTGCACAAGAAAGTGCGTTTATGTCAAGTTCCGCTTAAATAAAAAGGTTTATTTAAACCTTTTTCTGACTGCGTAGTTACTTTCAGACATAGCTCTCATTTGCTTCCCGTCTGTTAAGGGTTATGGTGGTGTGGTGTGGTGTATTTAATTATGGCAAAGCACACTAGGGCTATCTGCCTAAGAGATTCGAACCTCTATTTAAGGGTTTTGGATTCATTAACGGTTCCAGTTCACGTAAAACCTCGTACTTCATCAATACGGCACTCACAGGCTGCATGAGATCATACAGAACTGCTATAATATTTCTACATATTTCCATTAGTTAAAAAATTTTTTTTCCTTCTATTTTCAGTTAATATGAAATTTTATTGAATATATGTAACATCAGTCTTATTCGTAACATGGGAAGTGAAATTTAAGACTGAGTTGCTGATTTTGGGAATATTAACATTAACTGTACCAGTATTCCTTTTTTATCTGCTGTTAGGATGAATTCGTAATTGATTAGTGCAATTTATTTACTGATTTTACTTGGAAATAAATTATTGCGTGATATGCACTAATAAAAAAATGAATTATGACTCAATATTGAATATAAAATTGTTCGCGAACTTATCTGAAAAAATTTCCATACCTCTATTTCAGACCCCTATTTTAATAATAGCGGTCTATAATACTATAATTCCATACCGCTATTCTAATCTGAAAATTTTTAAATTTTTATTATGTGCATTTCATTACTTTAAATGCTGTGCAATATTTAACTATATATTAAAGTGCAAATATTAAAGGCAACTTTCGAATACATGTAATTCTAATTTATATTCATAAATAAATTTCTTTTTAAAATTTGGTATTCAGCAGCATACACTATGTGAAAACTCAAGATATGCCACTGCTCTTCTCGTATTCGCAGATAAGATTCATAGTTCACAGATATACTATTAGGAAAAAATTTGCTTTTATTCCTAGAAAATTTCTTTAAAAAAATTGTGGATCGATTTAATTAGCAGTTGCTTTTTGCCTAATGATTATGGTCTTCAGCTATACAGCAGAAACTCTCTTAACCAGCAGAAACGGTACTTCGCCGATTCTGGATAAGAGATTTTTCGAAATAATTGATTATACAGTTAGTTACTGAACTTATCTGTTTATGCTTTGTGATGCCACCGGTAGAAACTGTAACATGCGAAGTTCGTTGGTCGTGTTCTTAAATATATCGACGAAAGACAACTAATCAATATCGAAAATCGTACAGATTATTAAAATTAAAACACATATGCATGATTTTATATTTCAGGAAAGCACTATTAAACATTTTAAAATGACCACATACATTATTACACAAACCTTATGAATTCTTAGTGTAATGGCATATAACTTCAATGTCTGCCTGCTCACAAAATTGTCGCCGAAGTTTGAGAAATTCGCTGTGTGTACAATGAAGCTTCATAGCATCATGAACGGATATAGATGAAGATTTCTCGGAAAATCTTACGAAAGTCAGCAATTCTTCGTTAGCTTCTTTCCACAAAACTTTCTTACTCTGTCGTCGTCATCTTCATGCTTTCCCTTCTCCCCATCACCTTTCTCCTTTCTTAATACATATTCCATTAAACCGTTATCATCTTGAGATATTATGACGATGAACAGAATTTTCTACATTCACCCAAGCTTGTATCTCCACTAATTTTCTTGGCACATATACATATATCCAAGATGTCGGCCATGAGTGCCGAACGCGTTTTAAAGCCAATATAGAATCTTTGGTACTGAACGCATCATCTATAAGCATGGTCAGAAGCCCCAATTTACGCTAACATCGGCTTGGTAATGTTCTTTACAAGTTTTCTTCAAAGTCCATATATATATATATATATATATAAAGGGAATCGGTAGTTCACCTTAATATTCTGGATAATTTATTGATTCATTGGTTAGATACAGCTTGCTACAGTGAGTGGCAGATACACATCACAAATGTTTTTTTCACATTCATTTCAGTTCTTTAACCCACTACATTTTATCTCATAGGTCTAAATTTCAGACTTAAATTTAGACCTTCATAAGTGCCATTATTTTGGAATTATGGGTTAATTAAATGTCGGACTTAAATTTCTACCGTCTAAATGAAGGTCTAAATTTCGGACTTAAATTTAGACCTTCATAAGTGGCATTATTTTGGTATTATGGGTTAATTAAATGCCTGTTATGAGAGGTTTTACTGTAATTTTGGTTTGCGGACTCTCGGGAATGAAGAGTCGGATGTGTGCAAGAGATTTTTCAAAATTAAATTTTAGTTGTTTTTCGATTTCGCTTTGAAAAATATAATAAAAGTAGACACGGTGATTAATGATTGGGAATCCGGTAAAGTGTACATCATATAAACTAACGAACGAACTAACGATCATATAAACTAACTTAGAACTAACTATCATATAAACTAACTTAGAACTAACATACCTGCCAACCTCTAAAGATAAAAATTCAGAAGGTTTCTCCAAAATTCAGAAGAACACGAAGAAATAATATCATGCTTTGATATTAAAAAAAATAACAATTTATACAAATAGAAAAAAGAAAATTGTACTTACATTAGTAAATCTCAATTAAGTAGTAACTAAAAACTTTATTAGGAAACATAAAACAAGAACTTAATGTTACACACACACACACACACACAAAAAAAAAAAAAAAAAAAAAAAAATTTGCAATGAATTTAGAGTGCATTTTTTGGCTTTAGCCAAAAATTCTTTGGAAAATTTCCTGTCATAACAATTAGTTTCCTCATAACATTTAGCAATTAAAATGATTTCTAGAGTTTTTGGTGAAATTGAAGAACGAAACACAGTTTTGTTTTTCTTCACAACACTGAAGACTCTCTCGCACTCAGCATTACTGTGTGGAATTACGAGAATAAATACCACATAAAACTCTTGCTAGTCTATCATATTTTGGTGTTCCATCAGCTCTTTTTATTCTTTTTAAGGTACCAACGAGGACATCAAGTCTATCTTCTCCAGAACTGGCAAAGTCTTCAAACTGTGTAAACAAACATTCTGCCAAAAATTACATCGGCATCCGAATTCGTAGCCGAATTTGAAAAAAAATCAATCACTTTCTTTGACGTTGTTAAAGCCGAAGCATTAACTTCATGCTTTTTAGACTTAACATGCTTCACAATGTCGCTTCTTCCACCGTGACTTATTATGAAGTCAACCATGCATTTTGCAACCAAACTATGCATTTTGCAACGTGTGCGTATGAAGTCACACACGCACACGTTGC